AATAGGGAAACGTCTGCTTCTCAATCTTATGGCAGCAGACTCATTCTTTTTATCCGCCGACCGCCATCGGAGCAGTACAGTGGCATTAGCTGTAGCGCCTGCAGCACAAGCGCTGGGCACTACGGTATCGAGGGTGGCCTGCGAGAGACACTGAGGCTCGCTACGGCGTTTCGCACAGCAAGGTGGTTGTTTGAGTGAAAGATCGTTAGGAAGGCTTGATTGGGGGATATTATTGGCAACTGCTATCGGCCGGGTTACTTGTTGTGAATACTACGAGTATCTGACAGGCGACGTTGGCTACTAAGTGAGAACACACAGTGCTTACGATATTCTTTCCCAGTACAAATGTCAAAATGGCGACTCAGTGGCCCATATTCTGGCGGAGGAATTCCTGATTAACCAGCTTCTTATCCACTTCCCTGTCATCCTTCATGAGTTTCAAGTTCCAGCCTCCTGCTTGGCCATGCTTCAACCTCGCCAAGCCCCGTCCCGTATTATCTCCGCACCAAGTCAGCAGCTGGTTGGACCAGCAGTCCCTTGCTTGGAATGAAGTGGCGCCCAAGTGGAGTTGGCGGCAGGGATCAGCCTCGTATCAACACTTATCCACAAGAGACCCATGGTAGGAATACTTGAATCGCTTTCACGACATGAGTGTTTACAATACTCTAAATCACCTGAATCATGCTACAGCCACCCCGATAACCTTGGACAAGTCAATTTACCGCATTGGATAACCTACCCAGGGCACCATCAACAACCACGGTCATACAGCCTTGCAGTCAGCGTCTCAAGCACGCAAAGGATCAGGCGATGCAGGGATTGACGGTGGGCTGTGCCGCTGCGGCAATCCCTTGCCCAAAATGTCCTTACTTATACCTGAGGCTCGAACCGCCCCCACGTCAGATATTTCTGACGAAGTGAAGCACCGTTGAGGGAACAACTGACAGGCGGTGGTGCTGTTGGTGCTCACGGCCTATGTTCATCCAACATGTTGGGCAATATCTTGCCGAAAGGAAAAGCCTTTGCGCGCCTACCCGGGAAACGGCCATCTACAGATGTGAGAGGCGTGTATAGTGAGAGTGATGGCGACTCGCTACCTGGGTATGCGCGGCAACAACACATGTGGTCGCCCGTTATATTACGCTCCGTGTCTTTGGCTGTGTTCGTGGTGCTATTCATATGCTTCATTATTGTGATCGAGGTGTTATATTCGGTATCTACTCGGAAGGAAGGCTTGAGCACGAGCGAGGAAAGATATCATTATCTGTGGACCTATGGCCCGACCGCAGGTAAGACATTCTTTGCTTATTGTCCTTCTGATGGAACATGCTGATCCTGTAGTTCTTACAATCGTCGCGGGGTTCTGGGGCCAGGTCGAATATCGAACGAAGCAGCTTATGCCTTGGAAGCTCATGAGTCACGAGCCAGAACATGCAACACGATCCTTGCTGCTGGACTATGTGTCTGACTGGAACGTGGTCATCCTATTTCGCGCCCTGAAGCAATCCTCCTGGGCTGTTGTCCTTGCCGTTCTCGGAACACTGCTCATCAAGCTAATCACCGTGGTCTCGACTGGTCTGTTCATGTTACAAAATGTCTACTTGAAGGATGTTCCAACAACACTCACGACGCAAGCGAGCTTTAACGGTGCTGGGTATAATGGTTCCAAGGTCGATGGAACGGCTGCAATGGTTGTAGCTGGGGCTTGGTGGCTTAACCTGTCATACCCGTTGGGATCAACCGATAAATACGCCTTCCAACCGTTCACAACCTCCGGCAAGAAACTCGGTGGGACTAATTGCTCCACTACCAGTTAGACGAGTCACTGACTTCTTTCCAGGTGCCGATGCTGTCATTTCAGGAACAGTCGACATGTTCTCTGCTGATCTTCAATGCGACGTGGCCACTGTCGCGAATTGGACTTCGGGGTGTAGCACACAAATGTGTGAGTACGATGAACTCAATATGACACTCAGTACTCCTTCCTGTTCGAAGTATCCATTTACAAGCTTTGAGAAAAGCTCCTCTTCAGTTGGGGGATACTATGCCGACGTATTCAGCGCCACATGTACGGATACAGATTCAGCGGATAGTCTGAATCAGAGACGCCTGATTTTCGCCGCCGCCCACTGGTCTGAGAACAGCACCCAAATCCAGGCGCTCGTTTGCAGTCCCACTTACACCATATCGCAAGGATCCGTCACGCTGCTTTACGGAAATCAAAGTGTGACTAGAATCCAATCATATAATAACGATACTAGCAACAGAACAATCACAGGGTTCGAGGGTATGGAGTTGGGAACAGGACTTATTTCCTCCCTATCGTTGGCTGAGAACACCTTGGATACGCTGAACTACGTGGATACGTCAACGCATGCCCTTACAACCTATCAATACAACCTTTCGGACCCAAACAGCACCTATCCGAGTGCATTTTACCTGGTCGCTAATTTGACCTCTCCCCATACGATGAAAGACTTACTGGATGCTTCAATCTTGGAGAAGGTTTCCCGTCCGACATTCAGTGCTATGGCTGCCCAGATAGCAAGGCAATATTTACTGTCTTCTGCGGACGAGAACCTTGCAGGGACATACTCCGCCCATACCCAGAGAGTGGTTGTCAGGGAACTCTCAGTCCGAATAATGGAAGCTACCTTAGGAGTTTTGATTATCCTGACCGCAGCACTATGGATCTGGAGACCGGTTCGCTGCACGTCGCGTGATCCTGGCACAATTGCTGGGCTAGCAAGCATAATGGGCCGCAGCCCGAAAGTGTCCGAACGGCTCACAGGCTGCAAAAACGCCCAAGATCTCACCACAAACCTATCAGATGGGAGGTTCTTCACCCGTGTCACAGACAGCGATGGCTGGAGAACATTTGGCATCGAGGAAGACCAGAAGGCAACCGAAGCGACTCGTCCTGGAGCCAGCTCTGGCCCTCTGACCTGGTGGCGGCCAATTTCAGTGAATGTCTGGTGGTGGCTCATATCTATAGTACTCCCCCTTCTCATTATTGCGGGGTTAGAAGCATCCTATCAGGTTTCCGCCCGTCAGGATGGACTCGGAACTGTCACCTCAGGTGGCTACATCCACTACGTCTGGGCCTATTTGCCGGCACTGATATTCCTTATCGTCCGCATCTTCTTCGACTGCATCCACTTCTCTGCCATGGTATTCCAGCCGTACCTGGAGCTCCGACAGGGTGGCGTGACCGCACCGGGCAGCCTTATGGAAAATCACCTGTCTAAGCTGACATTGTTCTCATTCTTTACCGCAATCAAGCGGAAACAGTGGGCCGTGTGCGCAACAGGATTTACCGTCCTTCTAGCCCCTGCGCTCACAGTGGCGGTCAGTGGGCTGTATTCAACACAGGACATTGTATACACACGCCCTGCTTCCATTGCGCGAATTGACACCTTCAACACCACCATCAGCCCTCTTTCTTCCACCACTACCGACCCTGGCCTCGGCCTCACAGGAGCCCTTGTAGTGGGAGCCAACCTATCATACCCCGCTTGGACGTATGACGAGCTCGTTCTCCCTACCCTCAGTGAGGCATCCCTCACCGATAAGGAGGGGGTGGTTCAAACCAACTCCTCCTCTTTTAACAGCACATCCGATAGTCCGATTCTCCTCAACGTCACCCTCCCAGCCCTCCGCGCCAATCTCACCTGCGATGCACTCCCCCAAGACATTGTTTATTACATCAGGCCTGCCGAGGATTCCTTTTCCATGTTTGACTTGCGCATGCAGCTCGACAAGAAATGCCAGGGTGTCGACACCTCCACTGACTTCACCATAAAAACCGACTATCCCAACGCAACACGCACTACATTCGGTGCCTTCAAATACCTCGAAGATGCAATCGATTTTGGCGACTGCCCGGCGCTGATGGGTTTCTACGGTGTGATAGATGGTAATTCCACAGCACAGATCCGCGGCTTCACCTGCAACCCGCAAATAGACGAAGTTGATGCAACAACGTCGTTGTCACTCCCCGGTCTAGAAATCCAGTCTGCGACCGCGGACGACTCCACCAGCCGAGTCTTTTCAACAAACATCTCCACCACCCTCGAATTCGAAAGCTTCCTTTCCCAGCCAGTCAACAAGCAAGACCAAGCGTTTGACGCCTTTTTCTCCGCCATGCTCAATGACCAAAAATCCCTCTCCTTGTCTGACATCACTGACCCATCCCACTACTCCACTGTCATCAATGCAACGGAACATCTCTACCGCACCCTGATGGCCCAGTCCATGAATGGCAACGCACGAATCCCATCCAGTGACAACCGAACTACCTTCCCTGGCACAATCGTAGACCCGAATCGTACCCGTCTTACACAAAGCGCCATATCTACCCGCATCCTTGAAGCTTTTCTCGCTGCTATGGTCGTGTCCACCCTAGTCGCATCCTACTTCATGCAAACCAAAGAAGTCCTTCCATTCAACCCGTGCAGTATTGCTGGCGCGGGGGCGCTGATCGCTGGATCAGACGTGCTGAAGAGTGATGCCTTACCTGCTGGGTCAGAATGGTGTAATGATAGGGACATGCTTCGAAGGGGGTATTTCTCCGGCTTGGTATTCGGGTTAGGATGGTGGGCTGGAGACGACCCAAGATTTGGGATAGATGTTGGGCGGGCAACAGAGGAGAGGGAGTAGACTTCATTTTTATTTTTCACGGTTTATATGAACATAATGAAGATTTACCATTGACATGATGAAAATTTATCATATGGTACAGAATTATCAACGGGAATAAATTCCTTATACAGACTACTAGCGATTCATATAACATTGCCCTCGTCCGTCTATAAGTCATTTAGAAATAGCACTTGCCTATCTACTTCCTCTCCTACAAAGCCAGAACAATCCAGACGGGAACAATCTGTAATATACATAATTAATTGCATAATCTAGCCTATGATTGACCAAACCAACCACGCACACATCACACATCACGCATCAGCCAGCCGGGCCATAACAAATCTCATTCACAACAACTACGGCTCCTGGTCCTGCCCAGTATAGCAATACACACCATCGATATACGTCGCAGGAATCTCACGACTACCACTAACTCCCCTGAGAACCGGGTCGTCTTCGGGACTGTCGTACAGATCACAGGTAGCAGTAGAGGAGAAGTAGGAGTAATCGCCGCTTTTACAGATCACAAATATGTTAGCACATCTCGGGATACATAATTTGAAAGGGAGGGGGAGGGGGGTGTGCCATACGGGCGATCCAATCCAGTAAGCTGCTGCAATTCAACCTTCTGTTGGTTGGTCTCGGATGCACTGGATCCGTATTCGATCTGTTTGGTTTGTTAATTGTTATTCCATGTTAGCTATTATACTACGTAGGTTTTCATTGTGAATTTCATCTTGTGGAGAGGATGGGGTATCGACATACCTCGATGATTTGGCTGGCGACGCCAGAGGCGAAAATGGCCAGAGTAGCGGCCAGGATGGAGGACTTGTTGAAGAACATATTGCTTTTGATTATGTTTCTTTCGGGGAGGCACGGGAAATAGTCGGGGCTTTCGAGGTAATGAGACGGTTTGCTTTTTCGGTTGAGTGGCACATCCGGTGAGTGATCTTGGGAATGAGGAGGGGGGATGATTTTTATATCATTAAAATAGTGGTAACTAGACCTATCTATGCATCATATCGCTTTGTTAGTTTTGCCAGCTAAACTTATTTTCCGATAGTTTCGTTCTCCTTAGTCGATCCGGTTGCCTTCAGATGGTGATCGGCAGCTGGGGCTGAGATTGAGCCGGAGACATTTGAGAACTTTTCTATTCCCTGTAGCAGTTGACAATTCGGTAAAGTCTTCGAGAGATATAAAATGGTAATAATGGTGTTACACCTTGACATGACATCAATTGTAATTGCTAGTGAACTATATCAGCTGCTATGCTGTTATGCTCTCTACATAGCGGCAAGCCTTTCATAAAGGTGATGATTGATGTGTACTTGGCCAAGCGAAGAAGTCTCTAATTGTCCTAGTGTAATGCTAGCTGATATTATCAGTCATCATATAAACATATATAAACACGTCTAAGAATGTATATTATCATAACAATCTACCACCCTAGCACATGCCATATACCCATAAATCAAATTATCCAGTGATTTGTCTAAACCAATAACATAACTCATTCATCCATGATATTCGTAGTACACATGCTCCGGGCGGTAGCAGTACACAGCTTCGAGGTACCTCTCGCGAAACTCGCCAGTGTGGGCGAACCCCGCGATAGTGGGATCATCCTGGGTATTACTATACAGATCACAATAATCAGGGGAAGAATAGTAGGAGTAGTCGCCGCTACACATATTAATCTATCAGCAGATTTCCCTTGGATGATTGAAGATTGGGAAGGTGGAATCCATACGGGTAATCCAGCTTAGTGAGCTGGTCCAGTTGAACCTGCTGTTCGTGAAAATTGTACTCGCTGCTGCCGTATTCAATCTGTTTTTATCTTCATATTCAACAATTCCAAGGTATGGGAACGGGATGGTACTGATACCAACGTACGTTGATAATCTGGCCGACAGTGCCGGAGGCGAAAACAGCCAGGGTAGTAGCCAGGATGGAGGACTTGTTAAAGAACATATTGCTCTTAGTTGTGCCTTTTTAGAGTGTGAGAAATGGCTCGAGGGTTCTTTCGAGGTAATAAACTGATTTACTTTTTTAATTGAGTGGGTTTACTGCATTCGGTGAGTGGACTTGGGAGGGGGGGGAGGGGGATTCTATATTGTTGAAAAAGGTAGTGGTGATCGGCAGTCGGAGTGAGATTAGTGAGATTAAGCTGGGGGACTTTTGAGAACTTTCCCTGTAGGGGTCGGTAATTCAAGGGATTCTTGGAGAGAGAAATATATAATGGCACTAATTAAAATGCTGCATTCCGACACAATACCAATTGGAGTAATTGATCGCTGACTATGACGCAGCTGCCCTTTCTTGATATTTTATCCTCTACTCAGCAGGGAATTTTGATCATTGATGGTGACGATCGATGTGCACTTGTCATACTAGGACACGCTAAGGGATCCCTGATGATCTTAGTGTAATAGTGGACGATCTTGTTAGTCACCATACTGCTAAGAATAAATATTATTGTATCAATCCATCTTCTGCATATAGCGTACACACTCGTTGATCAACATGCCCGATCACATACCCAAACCCATAACATAACTCATTTACAACAGCTCTTCCTCCTGCTCCTCAGTGTAGCAGTACACAGCCTCGATGTACGTCGAAGGGATCTGGCTGCTGCCACTGACCCTCGAGAGAGCGGCATCGTTCTCGCTGTTGCTGTACAGATCGCAGATATCGGGGGTAGAGAAGTAGGAGTAAGTACCGCTGCATAGATATAATTAGCATTTGTCTGGACGGTTGAAGTATTTGGAAGTGGGGATGGAATGAGGGGAGTGTCGTACGGATAATCCAACTTCTCGAAGTCTTGCAATTGAACCTCTTGCGTCTTGGCGTCGTATTCGCTGGTGCCGTATTCGATCTGTATGCATTATGGTCATATTAATCTTTGTCTCCGTCACTTCAAGATGCAGTGGAGGTAGCAAAGACGTACGTTGATCAACTGGCCGACAACGCCGGAGGCGAAAACGGCCAGAGTAGCGGCCAAGACAGACTTGTTAAAGAACATTTTGTTTTTGTTGTCGTTGTGTAGGGGGTTAGACAATAGTCGGGGTTTGAATTGGCAGAGATGGTTTGTTTTTTGATTGAGTGGTCTATTGAATACGGTGAGTGTACTTGGAGGGGGTTTAAGTACTATTGAAGAGGCGGCAGGTTTAGTATTCTCCTATGATAACGCTTCAATAGTCTCGCCAGCTGCAGTGCCTTTTTGGGATGGTTCTTCTTGTCTGTTTTGTCGATCCGGATAATTGCTCGGAGCCGTCGGAGGAACTCGATGCCGTTAGCTTGATATTTGTAGATCTTGGTTAGCTTAAGTTGGTGATCGACAGCTGGGCTGAGATTTAGATCGAGTGTGTAGAAGGCTTGGTATGATGCTATCGGGGATTTCTGAAGACATGTAACCATGTCAATCGTGATGCCATAGCTTAACACAGATTCAGATACATCATAAATCGACTGTATCTCACTGCAATGTTATTTATTTCCTAGTGAGCAGGGGCTTCCGGCATCACTGAAGACGATCGGTGCACGCGGGCCATTCAGAGGCATCCGGCGCACTAGTGCGATAGTAGCCGATCTCGCCAGCCACTATATGTCTATCGCGACGATCAGCGCTACCAACACTTTGAGGTCCTCGTGTTTGTCCTCTTCGCGATGGCAGACACTTGTCAGTCCCTGCATGAAGAAGAATCGGTCAGCTAACTCAATTCTAGGATCGGGAAATATCTAGCTCGTTGCCTGCTTCTGGTCGGCAGTTACTGTCATCATCTACCGGCAGAATGTACGCCTTAGTACGATAGTCGGCTGATAACGTGAAGTTAAGGTTCCCGGTTACACCGAGGCGACTGATCAGACGGGAAGCTTGGTTGAATCTAAAGAGGAACTATACGGTCATCAGCTATGGATTCGATCCTGTTGCCTCCATAGCGAGGCAGTAGAACATGCGGTAACGCCTAACTATTGAATGTTGCGAATGTGCTGAATACAGGAGAGATAGGCAGTTCACTATTTAGATGTTATGCCAAATTACGGTTTTAGCAAAAGCTTGATTGGTGGTGTCCTAGATAGCTTAATTTCTGTAATTTCCTTTATGTCGTGGTTGCTACTAATCCCTTAGAATAAGCCCGATATTCCCTATATTGCATACGCATTACATCACTCCAAGCCCAAACGTGGCAGGTATCCAGCAGTGACAACACCGGAAATTCTATGGTACCACTAATCACCAGCTCATGGCGCTTAAAAGGTTGGGCAAGCAATATCTCTGGCATCAAATCCTGGGTCATAGGCATGAGCACCTGTGGTGATGAAGATTCCTTTGTCAACCGGGTTCCTATTGTAATATTTGTTAGCAGGGATAGGAAAAGAAGCAATTTAGCCGATACAGATAAGACCTACGTGTTGACAAGACAGTCGCTAGTTGTCTGGAAAGTGGTGATCCAGCCTCTGTGAAAGGGTTAGTAGATCGGTCCCAAACCGATGGTCATGGATCTTCTAGAATGTAAGGCTTACGGGTAATCCAAGTCAACAATTGTATCAACCGGTACTACTTGGTCATGATCAACCCCGTTGGAAGTATAGGTGATCTGAATGCGTTAAATATGCACATTAAAATGTTGGGAAACAAGGGAGAAACAATGATATGAGCGTTCTTTCAGTTGGGATTGTGAAGTACACATACAAGGACATCATCTGCGGCGATGACGCCAGATGAGAGCGCCATGGCCATGGCGAGAATAGACTTGGTGAAGTGCATGTTCGATTCTCCGTACCTTGGTGGCAAAGTAAAGTAATAGGGCAATCACGATTGCGAACTGATTATAAGAAAAACCCCATCTGTAATGGGATTGGCGCCGCTCTTTATACTAAACCCGGATGTGGTGGGCATAGCATGTGCGAACGCTTCATATGCGGAGAAGGAAGCAAGAAAGGAATGCAGTGAAAAATGTGTTGTATTGCAAACTACGTCCTACAAGTGGGAGGCACGTATGGAACAGATGAGCACCTGCAGTGGTGGGTCCAACTATTTTAATGGATATCCTGCATAATTGGCAGAACCCTTCTGCTTTCGGAATGGGGAATACCCCGCGTGAAGAAACACATCATCATATAAGACAAAACATTGTCATGTAGTTATTCCGCAGCCTGCATAAGGTCGAATGGGAAATACGCCCTATAGTATGCCCAAGTACACAAGCAACGTTCGATTATCGAAATAATAGAGTTCAAAAGATCTTATGTATTTCCTGTCCCAACGGCTGGTTCTATTCCGGAATACTTGCTGAAGCATGAGTACATCATTGCTCTAAACAATGAACTATAATATATGATCCACATATGATTCTCTCCCCACGCCCTAAACTAATATTATTAAAGAGCGATATCACAGCTCTTACCGGGTGCTATCGCGAGCAATGTGTGCTTCGTGGCACTACTACCAGCTCATGCCGGAGGTTGTGGACCAAAGCACATAATCACAGCAGCCTCTACTGCGGGATCAAGGACGTTAGCACCAGGAGGGAGGTATGTACTGTCGATGATTCGACCACCTCTGGCATGGCGTGTTAGTAGCGATAGGGGAAATAACCAATTCAGTGGTCCGGCTATGACTTACGGGTTTAGGTAGCAGGTCTGATTAGCCTGAAATGTGGAGATATAGCCTCTATCAGTGTTTTATTCGTCATCAGCTTTGCCTGGTCTTGGAACGGGGTGACTGCATTCTCGATTCAGTTTCTTAATACATACGGGTAGTCCAGTGGAACTTGAAGATCGGTCTGTACCGTTTGGGTGTGACCAACGCCATCAGAGGTATAAGCAATCTGGGAAGGATGAGCCAAAGTGTGCGATCAGAACAAAGACATCTTCATGGCAATGTGTACACATACGTCGATATCGATGGCAAATGCACCAGATGAGAGCGCCATTGCGGTGGCCAGGATATACGTGGTGAGTTGCATCGTGAATGTCCGTATAGGGATTCTGGAGGTGTGAGGTAGATCGCCTGTTATAAGCTGGATATTGAATCAAAGCGTTAGGCTATATTTCGAACACATCTACCCTTTCATATTCACGCCCTGGATATTGTGCATTAGCCGGACGGCTTCACATGCCCAAGTTGCATTCTTCCTGGAAAGGGTTACACGAGACAACCGGATATCCCTTGAGCATTGTAGACCCTGTATAATGGTACATTGCAATTGATATACGATATCCCCTTTTGGGATGGTGAATAAGGGGATAGAACTAGCTAATGCCAATAAGAAGCAAGCATCAGTCGCTGACATTGTAATAACAATCAATTCGTATGTAATTCTAAACTCTGCTGCGGCGGGGGGGGTGGCCAACTGATTTAATGTTAACTAATGACCTAAAAAGGCGCCAACCTTCAATGTTCACCTCATTGAGACGTGGGTATACCGGCTCAAAAAATATAAAAAATTCAGTTTACTGCATCCTACGGCCACATCAAATTCAGCAGCAAAGACTGACCACATGGTTCTGATTATATGAAGAAAGATTTATTGCACATCGAGAAAATTGCGGTCGGGTTACACGGAAAAATGTAAGGATGGCTGAGCAATACGCAACAATATCATGACCGTATCATCCGCGGACATCTCAAGAATGTTGAACCGTGTCAAATACAACAGCGAAGTACATTCCTTATGAGGGAAGGGAACAACTTATTCTTCATTGAATCCCATAGCATAATTACGCCAATGTTATGGAATATATTCCCAGCCCTCTAAATATCCCTACAAGCTCGGAATCACTGAGGCCCAAGGCCGACAGCCCCAATCTTCATTCAGAGCTATCACCGGAAACTCCACGTTATATTATCTGGTCGGGATTGAGGCATAGGACCATCGTAGCATTGAAACCGGGATCATAAGTATAATCGCCCGCATCTACCTGTATACCATCTTGCTGCAATGGGTCCCTATCATTATCTGTGCATTAATAATATTGAATTGGACCTGGTTCAAGTGCATAGATCGGACTTACCCGTTAACAATGCTGCATGGTCCGTTACTTTGAAAGGTCGTGATAAGGCCTCTGTCATTAGATAACTATCAGTACTGTACTTTCCGAAAAGCTCTGCCCCGGGGAAGACGTGCGGATAGTCCAGGTAAGTCCATTCGCCTGATGTTACTGTTTGGTTGTGGAGGACACCGTCGGAGGTGTAGGAAAGCTGGAGTAGCGTGTATCAGCATATTGCCATAATGACTTTTGTATAATATCAAATGAGAAAGACTGGGTATACTGTACACATACATCAACAGTGTCACTGGCGGCCAGGACGCTAGTTGAGAGTGCCATTGCGGTGGCGAGGAATTACTTGGTAAGTTGCATTCTGGCTGCTTTATTTGTGACAGGGAGAGATATAACTTGATCACAGAAAGCTTGATTGGAAAGAAGCAAGCTATGTTTCCTATGGATTATGTTCGCCCTTTTATAGCCCTGTGTTTAGTAAACAAACACATTCTCACAGTTGGGCCAACTCCGGACTGTCTGACATACCCGACTCGTCTTTCTACGAGGTTGCATTGAGCAGCCGGACTTTTCTTGGGCGTCATAGACTTTGTATGAGACGCCCGGGTGGAAGGATTCTGCAATGTATGGCTGTATAATGTAGGTGAGACAGAACTAGTTAGCTTATTAGGAAGTGTGAGACAACTATGAGGCCCAGAGATGATCAATTCTGGTGATACGATCGACTGCCAATCAAAGACCTTGTCGCTTCACCGGAGAATACATCCGCATGGGTTATTTGATCGATGTCATGTCGTGGTTTTGCAGTCAAAGTTATAATGGTGATAGTTTCCACGGAACGCATAATTACATTTTCGGGTCTTGTAACAATTTCGGAAAAGTCCATTACACCTTCAAAAAGATGTGGCAGGAATACTTGGCCTATGTGGAGATGACCGGGGAAAAAGCAACATCACCCTCTGAGGAATGCCCAAACCATCCGCGGACAATCCAGAAAGGCCGCGGTTGTCTCACAGTGCAATGACACTTGATTGCTCATCCGCGGCCAAATTCTTTCTGAATTGGTGTAGTATGCTACAAGAGGACACCATGAATGTTTTATTGAACTCTGCGAGGCGAAGAACGCCGTCTACTTCATACATGAGCAGATATTTTCCGTAGGTATTTGATCCCTACTACGCACCCTCAGCTGGCACGTAGAAGTTCCGCAGCAGCACTCCAATAACATCGAAAACGCAGTAAATATGGCATTTATTCTACTTTCTCTGGACCGCCCCCTAGTGTACATACTATGACCGAAATGGATACATCTCGTTACCAAGAACCTTCTCCCCATATCATCAATGGGGAGACGGATACGGAACCTGTCTGCTCATACATGTGTCATTGAAGCATAGTATGATTAGATATAGGCCATTCGCTGTAGCTAGCTACCATTACTTCATAGGGCTATCAATCTGACCTCCCATCAACTCTCCCACTTACCCTTGCATACCCAGCAGTCCTTGAAAATGGCGGACAGACTTCCGTACCCGGATGCGTGAATACAATGCACCGTCAAATAAACAATGCAATGATCATATCACGTCAAGCCGGCACTTATCTAGTTGGAAGAGGGGTCTTGGCACTGGACGGATGCAGCGTTGACTGGAGGGTCTATGTTCGTCGCACCCGCTGCAACATAGTAGACCTCCTGGCCATAATAGCTAGAGCGGTATATTTTAGTGACAAATTCAGGTATAACAATTATGGGAGGGGTGATATTTACTTGAAGAGATAGCAGTTGGCAGTGTTCTGGAAGGTGCTGATGGATCCACTGTGGAGTCATTAGCATTGTACTTGTGCAAGGTCTTTAACGAGATGAGGAACGTACGGCTGAGTCAATGGAGTACGTTGGTAAGGCTCGACCTGCTGGCTGTAGTAAGCGCCATTGGAGGTGTAGGCGATCTACATCCATATTGGTCAGCAGATGGACAAAGAAGACAGCTCGAGACATGGATGCCGAATGAGCAGGTGGAAAATGATTCATTTCTCTACATACATCGACGGTGCTCGCAACAGCGCTGGAGGCGAAGAGAGCAAGGGCGGTAGCCACGATAGACTTGGAGAACTGCATGGTGGATAGGTAGTTGTCTTTGAGGACTTTGTTGTATGTGCTTGTGAGGTTGATTGTGATGGATGATACCTTGTTTCTCGTGGGATATTTCAGCCATTATATAGCCCTGGACGGAGTTACAGATTTCATTACCGAAGAGTAGATATTAGGCCTACCATCCAGCTGATCCTATCCTGCAGAGCCAAGAATCCCCGGAAACCCCGGAAGTCCTCTAGGTGTAGAACCATTGCATGGAATATAGAATTCCATTGGATATGTGTTGATCAAATGCACATAGAAAAGCGACCTGACATCTACTAGCGGACAACTATCGGATGGCTGCAGATACGAAGGTCCCGATTGCTTTTGCAAGGCCATGATCGACACCCCAGCTGCTTCCGAGTGGACTTCCCCGCGCCTTACCGGGAGCCACAACACTAAAGCCCGACTTTCCTAAGTTTGCGCCTTTCTACAGTTGGAAACCATTTTGATATTATGTGTCAAGCTTTCTGGGATGAACGATTAGAACTGAGCGCATAAGTATCACGTCCCTCGGGGTACACAGCATAATGTCGGAGGGTTGGGCATTAACTGCCCAGCGGACGCTCAGAATATGAATTCCCTGATATTATAAAGCTTTCTTAGGGGACTGGCTTGGATTGAAGTTTCATTGGGCAAATTGCTTCTACGTTTCATGTCCGGAGATTGTATATTATATGATAGAGCCGCAACAAGGGGAATTATATCGCTCCCGAATATTCAAATTTGGGTACATTGGGCTACTGTGACTAGATAAAAAGAACATGACGGTAACCTGAACATCTGAAGGCGCTTCAATGGTATACTGAATACAGCGCATATGGGCGAGAATCTGCATATTCGGACCAAAAGCTAGATCAATAGGTCCAAACCGGCCCATATAATTTGACTATCCAATACTCCATGCATATATCGTGTTCAACCGACATGACACTCAGCTGAGCCACTACCACCTTTTCCAGTCCCCCGTTGATCACGCCCAAGCTAGGACACCCACTCATAACTCAACACTGGAATAACAAAATCTGGCGCCGTACATGTCGCATTGAAATACTGATCATGCGTGCAAGTCAAAGTAAAATCCGTACTACCAGAATAGGTAATCAAGCTACCATTCGCACATTCCAGCGCATGCCCATCTCCCAAGACATAATCCATATGCCCCGTGGAAATTGCATAATTGGAGCTGCCATAGAAAGAGACGATCCTTCCCTCGCCTCGATCCGCGTATCCACAATTAGATGCTCCGTTTCCGATGTCATGGACTCGATACCCGATGTACTCGTCGTGGCAGGTCAACCCATCGGCAAAGTCGATGTCAAGGGTCTCGGGCGGACCATATCCCCATGGTTGATAATTGGGCATTCCGGTCCAGCAAACATTGACCATGCTGCCGTTGCAGGTGGCAGGGTCGGGGGCACACCAGCCATTGCCGCATAGACAATCTTTGAAGTCAATGTCTGCCTGGTTATGCACGCAGTCCAGGCTCTTTGATCCGTTGTACCAATGGAAGGTGGTAACTTCCCAGGTTGGGATAGGACATCCGTCTGGGGGAGTGATGGAGCGGGGGTGCAGAAGGGCGGTGGACGAGGCTGAGAGAGCCACGAGAGTGGCAATTGTGGGGAAGATCAACATGTTGGGCATTCCAGAATGTAGCTCTCAAAAAAGCAAGCTGATGAGTGTGACTGGAAAGAGCATGCTTTTTCTGTCTTTCAGGGGGGTTTTATATCTCTTCATTCTCGCATCGACAGAGTTTTGTCCGCCTCGTATCTTCCAGAGAAACGACCGAAGAGAGGTGTTCGGTTTGAAGAATCAGGGTCCCCTACATGCACATCAGCTGGTGGAGGTGAGACATTGCGAATGAAGAGCGGAGGGAACCGACGGGTTTGAAACATTTGGCTCGCCTAAGCTATAAATGGTTGCGGTGGTGCCTTGGCATCGGAGATCTTAGGTCTTCCCGCTTAATGTCTCAACACGATTTTCCTAAAGAGGCCATAATGTCGGGAACACCGTAGAGTTGGCCACTTGATAGATCTCATCGTGGGATTTATTTCTGTGTGAATACGAGCTTTGGGCTGTCCTGCACTCAGCATGATGATTGTGGGGGGGCCCAGAGACTAGTGCTATAGAGGATCGATCAAGGCGGAATTGAATGTAGGGAGTGTTGAAACTACCTACAGGATGCGGTACTTGATCTTGGCACTTGTATATGCAATAATGGTAAACAAAACTCCTGTTCATACAACTAGTAGTTAGAGTATTGTCATCTGCGGGTGAATCTTAATGGTCCTGTACATGGTTATATATAATGCGGCTAACGTGACTTTCAGTCACAAATTCAATTGCATTGATTAAACAATGGTACCTCACTTAAAACGAAAACATCGAAAGGCCTGTTAATTAAACGAAATGTGTCTCGCAAGTATTATACCCCATGGAAGCTAGAAACACCTGACATTCATAATTCTGTTACAGCAATGTTCACTGGATAGAAGTAGGGAACAGCCGATCGGGCAAGAAAGGCAGGCCCCAGGAACATAGCACAGGCCATCTACCTGTGTAGTGCGGAGTGAAAAAAAAGCATTTAGATTCAAGAGTGATTATGAACGTCGACCATCCATATTTTTATCCATTAAGTTATGCACAGATTACCTTTAAAACTCAACATAAGTTTTCCGCCAGTCTGCTATGACGTCACCACATCCGAACCCGATCTAAAGCTGCCGAGATTACTCGGCAGACCGATTCAACCGTGAACTCAACTGGACAATTTGCGCCTTAATGTCCAAGCCTTTCAGCCAAAAGGTGGTTTCAGATGCACGAGCAGCTCATATGAGAGTGGAAGGGACCCTGGATTACCCATACATTTTGCACACGTCGACCATATCCCTCATCATAATCACTGCGCCCCGACCAGCTGGACAAATGTATGTATTTAGTAAGTACTAGTGATGAAGTCTTCAACAACTCAGTTTATGTCGCTAGGATAGGTGAACCCAATGCTCTCCATTACATTGATCATCAGTTATGCAAGGGACGCATGCTGCACATCTACAAAGTGAAATGTGGGGTCATATATGGGTCGATGCAGACTCGCCGAAGTATCCCCGAGCATCACCATGCCATGTGTTAACAATTGGGACTATGAGATTTCCAAATTTGTCACTCTTCTGTAAAGCTACGGAAGAGTGCTATAGCGAATCTACGCAAATTCTATGCCTGGGCTACAACCCAAGTGCAACCCCAACCCATCACACCCAAGCTTAAGCTTATCTCGCGGAACTGGAACCCATAAGCTTCATCCTCGGATCCTCACCGAGAACACCTTAACCAGTAACTCATCCGCCCCACCCCAACTCTTAAAAATAACTCAATCTTGCCCGCCCACGTTTAAGAACCCCGTTACCCCTCCATCCCCTCCTTCTCGCCCACAACATCTCCATTTGATCCTCCCATCACACCGTCAAAATGGTTTACACTATCGTCGTCCGTACGTTTTCCAAGCCCCTAACTCTATTCTACTGAATCCACCATTGGCACAATTATACTGACATAGCAATGCGATAGACCTCCGCGCTAAGCCCGACGAGGAGAGCATCTCCAAGCTCCACGCCAAGCTCATCGAAGCCTCGGCCGTCTACTCTAAGGACAAGGAGACCCTGTCCTGGTTCGTCATGCAGAGTGTCCACGACAAGCAGGACTTCTGCATCGTCGAGCGCTACCTCAACGAGGGCTCCCAGAAGTACCACCTCGAGAACCCCTACTGGAAGACCTTCGACCCCTACGTCATCCCTCTCTTGGAGAAGCCCATGGACCTCAGACGCTTCGAGGAGATGGAGGAGAAGAAGGAGTAAATGTGCATACTATAAATACTGGAGTGGCATGTATATAGAGTGAATGATATTGTCCGATGCCGTGCATTGGACGTTGTTCGGAATAGCATTTCTGTGCTGAATAAATGTTGCAGTGATACAAATACAACGTGACTATCGCTATGATTATTTGCAGGCAGTGAGTTGAGTGCGAAGTTGGTGTACACGAGCTCTTTCACAGGTCAAGCAGAAGGTAAAAATATCAAAGCTTTATCAACCAGCGATTCGGATATAATAGACATGTCCTACCTCCCCATCGATCAGCGAAAGTCGTAAGGACGACGATGACAATAACGAACAACATCAATCTACCCATGTCTATTCGTCTGACTGAAAAATGGACTCGACACATAAAACGGTCTCTCATCCACATTCCCCTGCCCTCCCTCACCACCACCACCACTACTCTTCCCCATCAACGCCTGCATCCTCTCCCGAAAAGCCTCATTATCCTTCAACTTCCCTACTTCCTTCTTACCCCCCTCATCCCCAAATCTCGCATCCGGCTCCCCCTCAAACACCACCTCCGGCCCATCAATCCACTTCCTCCCCGAATCCCCACACGCACGCTTGATACTCTCTGCACCCTCGTTGATCATATTCTTCCAGAACGGTCCCTCTTCACTTGCTAACACACCAGCATCTTCAAGCATCGCCACCGCACCAGCCACCCAATCTTGACAATTACCCACACCGAATTCTGGGATATTTGATGCGTCGTTTCCAAACGTGGAGAGTAAGTTGTTCACATGTTCACTTTCTTCCTGTCGGAAGGTGCTCAGTTCACAACGTCCTCTCAGGATAGGGTTATCTTGTAAAGGTTGGATATGTGGATCGTAGATGAAGTATTCATCGGTGGGGTTATGGATGTGGTGCATTTGGCAGCTTGACGCGCCGATCTCGTATACGGCTATGCCCATGTGCGAAGGGCTGTCGCCGAGGGAGGCATCCCCGCGCCCGTAGATGTTGATAGAGATGGCGTGGGTGGGTGGTTGTTTTGGAGGGTTCAATTTTGGTCTTAGATAAGGTTATAGAGAGGTAGATGTTGACTGTATGGGTTTGTGATGGACGAAGTTGAGATACTGGTTGCCTAATTGTGTTGTCTTTGTTGGAAGCCTGGGCGTCTAATGAATGCGTCACGTGAAAGGTGAGTTGGGGTGGAGTGGGAAGACAAGGTGGTTTATGTACGAAGTTTACAACTGGGCACTAATTCTGATCTTGATTGGCAGGTTTTGTTCTCTACTTCACGGGCGTCTTCATACCTAACTTGTATGATTATACTTTAATCCACTTTGATTGACTATAATTCGCGACCTCGCTACAGCCCAACGTGGTTCCTAACCGGTTCAAAGCAAGAGTATGGTTTCTTATGCTGTTGTAAGCCTCAGACTGGCACGATGTGAAGCAACACGAAGTTGGATATATAGGAAAGTCACATGCAGCGACATACGGTAGTAAAGGAGAGAAGATTGCCCGATCCAATGTCTCCCTGATGGAGCATATCTTTCCAAGTCACCACTTACTCTTTGCTCACCTAGCAATATGGCGCCTCCTGCGTTTAGTCCTTCAGTAATTATATAAGTCCGGAAATGGTAGATACAGCTGTAAATGTTCTTTCATGCAGATCATACATTACAGTGACCAACAGCCTGATCAACCTGTTTCAACTTTTTCGAAATCCAGCCGGGGTAAACCCTTCCGTGACTCCAATACCTGCGCGTTTCCAGGCCCATCGGGGGATATAGTTCGCTCAAGGTTAAGCGTCACTCACTCACCCGTTCCTGTATGTAGTACGATCTGTGGTTTCTTTCCGATATGACGAGAAAGTCCACGCTCGGTAGAGCGATGAACATGCTGTAGTGGAGAAGCGATAGCTCAAGACACCATACGGGCAGTACCTGAGGAACTTTGTATAACCCATAGGCAGTAGTAGAGATAATTGAAGACGAAATTGGATTACTGACATAGCAGCAGTGTGACAAGAGAATAGAGCCTGCCGTGGCCATGATCCGCAGGCCTATCTATTTCTTTATGGCACCACCCATAAGATGGGCGTAGTTCTCAAGATTTCGCCTGCCAGTGGACCTGCTCTTCTCAGCATTACCAAACTTGGTATCGACTGGTGACTCCCGTGCTGGCTCCATGATCAGCTGCCGCACCCAAGGTCTACCATCTTCAATAAGCTGTTTGCCAATGCCGATGAGGCCTTTGCCCGTTTGGTCCTGCCAATATCCCGCTGTTCCCGTAGGTGCGAGATTGGCACGCTCGAGTGCCCCCGATGCCCCCAAAACCCAGTCTTGAGAGTTCTGCTTGCCTTGGGGGACAGTTTTGTACCCATAAACATCCAGTAGTCGTACAGCTTCCAACATATGGGAGTTGGAAAACTGAATCACCTCCCTTCTTCCATATAAGTTGTGGATTCCACTGTACGGCTTTGTGTATGGTAGAAGAAACCGAAGCTTTTTCTGAAATGGTAAATATCACCCATTGTGTCGCCAGGTTTATAGATCACGATTCCTTAATTCGTCGGGCGGTCTTCCCCATCGGGTATTCTTTCCCGTATATATCAATTGACAATATATAGGTTTTCTCTGGATATTGGCTGAAGGTGCCATGACTGTGGGTTGGTTTTCGATACCTTCTCCGACTCATCTGAACACATTGCGCATTTCTATCAGAGAATACCAAATGAATGTGCTTCAATGGGTATGAAGGTGAGGAGGTAGGCAGTACCGGCTTTAAAGTAAGGAAGAAGCGGATGATAAGGTGCGGTGGGGTGGTTATAAACGTGAATCATTATATTCATTATGGTTGGTAGAATTGGGGCCTTGCTGGAGTGTGAGTCGTGAAAGGAGATAAGTTGGATCTCATATATATTGCAATTTGCTGCATCTCGGGACATCCTATTGAATCATTATAGGCTTTCAAATTCAACTCAGAGCTTGGAAGCCACTCAAGGAAGTCGCATATACTAGTATTGGCCGTAGGTACTGCATGGCAGTAGCGCTGCTCTTGCGGTTGTTTCAAATGGAATTCACAACAGCATCCAAAGGAGCAATTAGCATGTTAGCCTAGACCCAAGTTTAGAATGTTGTATATATACTGTAGCTTGCTACATCATCATAAAAATGTAGCGATAGTGGGTACAGTAGTCCAGAAACACGACATTTAACAGCATGAAGAGAGCAGTGGCGGGAATATCCGTTCAGTGGACGGTATCTCATTGTTGAAAATATTACCATAGAAGACCGTACTCAGTTATGTAAAATTCACTTTTACGCCATCTTCTGTCAAGACTGATTGAGTTCCTGGCATTCACGGCGGAGGGGGATCAAGAAGGAAGGAAGGCCCTAGTGCAGGCCACAGAGTATGTAGTCAAGTACCTGGCTACAATGAAATTTGAAAAGTCATCTGTGAATTTCGCTGAAAGATACGGTGGGGTACTGAACATAGTTCACTGACCAGATTGTATAAAAGCCCAACTTCAAAGAGAGGTACATTCTTCTTATATTCACTTGTTGTCTATCTTCACTGGCAGGCACAACATTCCATTAGTGCTGATTATATGACGAATCTTATCATCACATTATTGATTTTTTTGTCCCTTTCGTTTGCCCCTTTACAAAATAATCAAAGGATAAAGAAGGAAAGACGAAGATTGGGACGTACTTCAGCTTACGCGTAACCGTACGCGACTCTATCCTGTCTAACGTGGGGACTGAAACATTTCCAGCGTCTAAGAGTAAAAAGCAGTTTATACATGGTCGCCATAGTCTCGATTGATGGGAGCAAAAATTGTTGAAACAGGGATCAATTCCCGTAATGAACAAGGTCGTGGTGCTTAGAGGGCCATCTTCCAGAACGTGTTACAAGACTCAACTATGCACCTGAACAACGAATCTTCGAGTATTAGGTAGGCTGAAATCATATGTGTTGAATTCATGACGATTTGGACAATGGGTTGCAAATCACGGAAGAACCACAAAACGACAAAGACCCGGACTGCAATCACACACGGAAAGAGAAAGAGGTGAGCTGCTCAAGAACAAAGCATTCCAGATAGTACAACAGTTACACAGAGTAATGAGTTAACGGCTTTGCTCAGGATACAATGTCAAAACTATGGCACAAAGCAGACCAAAATAAAGGAGAAATAATATGATTGGTTTATGTTCAACATAAACGATGGATGATTCCCGGCTAGGTGCAGGTGTATCCCGGAATACCAGTGACTGACTCAGAGATAATTCCTCCGGGAGGGTTACATCCCTTTTTACCGTTGTAATTGTAAAAGCGCCCTACATACTGAGTCAGCGATGGACAGAAAATGGTAGAGTACTGCTGTCTTTACATACCGTCGGCACATTGGCAGTATGTTTCGGAGAGACCGCAACGAGGAGAAGCACTATGATATCAGTCAGGGAATTTATCTCAAAAAATGCAACAAAACACTCATCATGGTGTTAGGGTAGATTCATACAAGGGATAGCAACCACTGGCAACGCCGCGAGACCCTAGGTCGCTATTTGGCGTGTCTTGGCCTTCGGTAGTAGGGGCCGCCAGGGCTCCGAGAATGATTGTGATGATTGTTAACATAATAGGGAGCTTCATTTTGGTGAATAATATGGGGCTTTCTGGTGTATCGAGCACAGTGTAGTGAATATATTGTGTCAGTTGATTCCATGAGAAAATATAGCGGCAAGGGCTGTAGCTAGGCTATATATCTTTTACTCAGAGGTCGAATAACAAAGAGATTGAGGTAGCTTTGTACAAACAGATAGTGCCATGGATGAATACCTCTTTGCTCAGTAAATGGCACAATGGATAGATAGACCAGCCCGTGATAAATTTCCATCCATCATAGTAGTTGACAATGGTATTCGTGCTATCTAAAAAGAAAGGCAAAGAAAACGGAAGAGACTTCGGACAACGACAAAGCATAGGCTTCGAGCCTTGCATCGTCTGATACTACTTGCGCATCTGGAACTGAAATCAGAAGGCAACCTACTTTGTCAAAACAGATATAATTGCAAGGAGGCTAGTAATTGTGTACTTAGTACCTCTGCATGTGCACTTTGACTTCGAAATATGTCCAGTTATTGGTCTCAACTAGTGGAGTCCAACATACGCCTGGATAGGTGACCTTGTCAGACAATGTGCACACTATTGATGTGTTAAATAAGTCCATCTTCAAGGAAGACGATGTGTTGGAGTGGAAGGAGAAACTATTCTGGCGCTATCACATGACCTATCTTTGTAACGTATTGTCCCGCTGAGAGGCAGTCGATGTTCAACTCTCCAGCCATCTTCCAATTCCAACCCATATACATCGAATCAAACTTCATTGGCACCCACCATGCTCAGAGCATGTTATACTTGCCGGCGTAGGCATGTCGAGTGTCAAATGACCCAACCACCGTGTAAGAAGTGCCAAAAGGCAGGCCTTGAGTGCCTCCAAAAAAGACCCCTCCGGTGGGTCGACGGGCCGGCTTTTCGGAACAGAATGCGAACCTCGCAAGCCCATCACATGGATCAAGGCAGTGCCCTCGACAAACCTCATCACAAGGTGTCTTCTCGTCTTGAAGCTGGTCTGGCGGCACCAACCTCAGAGGCAATAACCCCTGTTGGAAGAAACGGACAGTTAACCAATTCGCAAAACGGATGTCACAGCAGCATCCACATAAGCATTCCACCTAGTTTGAAGGATCCCGCCTTTGACAGCCTGGATGATGCTTCCATGTATTACTTGAATTACTGTCAGTGTGCTTACGCAAATGCGATGTGATTCACACCTAATGACAGAGTCAGATAGCAGATGTGTGTGCAAGTTGTTTGTCATGTTCGACAGTCAGCGAAACCCTTTGAGGCAACTCATTCCGGCTGCGTTGGCTAATCGAATCTTGACTGCTTCGGTCATGGCTATATCAGCGCGCCACATGGCAAACAGTCAGCAACTATTTTGTAAAAGGCAAGACCACTCGACGCGCTTTCAGGCGCATCCTGATGGTTTGATGTACAAACAAAAGGCCATACGCGGGTTAATCCAGGCGCTCAACGATCCAGTACCGAAGTCGCGAGACGTTCTGGTTCTGAGTGCGTTCATATTGATCTTCCTCGATCTCTTGGAATCGGGGCGCGACCAGTGGAAATCCCATCTTGGTGGCATTAAGCAACTTGTTCATGACATGCATACTGCGGGAGCTTCGCAGAATCTAGAAGCAACCATTGAAGGCATGCGTGAATTTATTCTGGGGCAAATCTACCTGTAAGGCTCCAGTATCAAACCATAGGATGGAATGTGCCGTTTTGACATGTTGTCCGTTCCAGTATTGAAACGCTTGGCGCTACATTTTCCGGTCGCAAAGTATTGTCCGGGGCGGATATGTCCCTCGCTGCACCGCTACAAATGAGTATCGACAGGGCCTATATCGGTTGCCCTGAGTACCTGTTATCTGCTGTTCGATTCTTCTCAGCAGCTAGGGACCGCTTAGCTGACCCAAGACACCTTGATACGCCTGAGACATACTCTTTGCTACAGTCAGTCACAAGTGTGCTTAACTCTACCAACCTATTCGATTGCTACGGTTGGGCGAACCAGACTCTACGAGTCTCATCCCTCACTCCAACATCACAGAATGTACAGTCGCTGGAACATTTAGCCCTGGCTTATAAATCTGCAACAATGATATACGGGTGGCGCATCTGTGATGCGCTAATTGGAAACAACACTCCATTGAGTGACTTGGTAACAGGCCTGGTCCACGAGGTTCACATATTGAGGAGGGATGAAGCGCTATTTAAGTGCATACTATGGCCCCTTTTCATTGCAGGGTTGGAGTCTGAAGACCAAGCCCAAAGGAGACAAGTTAGAAAATTTCTGGATAGCTTTTGGTTCGAAACCAAATGCATCAATGTGATAAATGCGGTAACAATCCTAGATAGGTTTTGGGTTGACCCATCGGAGGTGGAAAACGCCTCTTGCAGCTGGATTTTTCGAATGGGCCAGGTAGAAGGTGATTGGCTACTAATTTAAATGCGCGAGCTGCACTACAATTTTACAATATGAGACGTGCCAATTTGGCCATTGGTGGTCAACAAAAGCTGGAAGAAAACGCCTTGTGCCTTCAAGAAGATGATCACAGTGATGGTGATAACGGAAAGATAATCGGACATCAGCGCGACATGACCCGCTGACGGATATTTATCTTGCCATTGGTTACATTATGGAAGCCCCACTCCAAAAGACTGCCTAATCGAGTAATCTAAATCAGTGGGGCGCGTCGATTCCGCTGCCCCAGGCCTGCAACATTGTGAACCAGATAAACCAGCAGGACGCCACGTCGAAATACTACCCAAAGTAGTTAAATCGCGACGACAAGATGACGAAAATATCAGCGGGGTCTGACCAGGATACAATAATCTAGCCCTGCGCTGTAGGATATATAAAGGTCTATCTCGACATTCCGCCATTGAATTGAACAGCTCTTCAAACAGGACAGTCACTCCTATTCTACTCCACCTAGCACTGAACCTTCATCATCTACTATAACTAACCGAAATGTGCAACGACGAAATCAAAGCCAACGGCTGGTCGGCCATGCCCGCCAATGCTGGTGCCATATTTACGGACCAATCCTTCATCAAAAGGGTAGAAGCCGTGCAGCTCGATACGATCAAGTTCCCCTTCGACGATCCTGTCGTTTCAAAGACCTTGGAATACGCCAGGGCTGTTCTTCACCCCCAGACATTGAACCACTCCATGAGGGTCTACTTCTACGGTATGTCTATAGGCAACATATCATTGTGTATATACTCATTACGTCATATAACCACAGGAATGGTAATTACCACCCAGCAATTCCCCGAATTAGCAGCATCCCTCAGCCCAGCCACCTGGGCTTTAACCTGCCTCCTCCACGACATTGGCACTGCGGAGGAGAACCTAACTGCAACGCGCATGTCATTCGATATCTACGGCGGTATCAAGGCCCTCCATGTGCTGAAGGAGTTTGGTGCTACTGCGGACCAGGCCGAGGCCGTTGCTGAGGCGATCATTCGACATCAGGATATGGGCGTCGATGGAACTATTACGTATTTCGGTCAGCTTATTCAGTTGGCTACTACATATGATAATACCGGAGTTCATCCGCATGTGAAAGGTTTTGAGGGCTTGGTTCATCGAACAACTCGCAGACAGATCAATGAGGCGTATCCGCGGTTGAAGTGGTGTGAATTCTTCTCGGGGGTGATTAGGAAGGAAGAGGCGATCAAGCCTTGGTGTCATTCGACCCATTTGGTGGACTTTGATAAGGAGATTGAGGCGAATACGCTGATGAGGGAGTACGAGTAATGGTCTTATGGCAGGACTTGATTACGCGACGATATGCCGTCTCTATAATGAAATGGTGATGCAAGTAAATATTGTGAGATATGCAGATGCTACGGCTAGTCTCAAAACAACAACTATGGCACACCAAGTACAGGAAGGCTCGTGCCTTCACTACCCGAGCGTAATGCTTCCGATAACCATCACAGCCCGTCGAGCGGACGCCAGACCTTCATCCAGCGCTAGTGTCACGTCAGTCATTGTTCCGTGGGGTTTATGCCTCCAGAACATACCTTGTCATACGGCTCATTTGAATTCACGAATCTGAGATCAGTAGCCAGCCGAATCCTCCTTTCAGGGTCCTTATTCTTGCAGCTAGCATGCACCAGGAAGGGGTCGTGGAAGATCACATCCCCAGCTTCATATTCTGTAATCAGCCACTTACGCTTGGCGTTTTCGCCATATGCGATCGTATCACGACTGAGAAATCCACCATCATTCATGTTCTTATTGAACGCCGAGACACGCTCCTCATCAGTCAGATTTGCTGCATTCCGCGCGAATTCTTCCTCAGTCTGTCGACCGATATCAACCGACTTCTCCAGGTACATCAGCCCGCTCCCCTCAAGCGAAACGTCCCCGATCGGGACCCACGCTGTAAGACTGGTGGGCGGGCCCGCGCGCAGGTACATTTGATCGAAGTGAACAGGAGTCAGCTCACTATCGGGCACAAAGGCACGAAGCATTGTTCGCTGGAGCATAGTGATGTCTTCCCACTCTGTGAGTTTGCGGATGAAGTCCCGTAGCTCAGTGCTCTCGCACAATTGAAGATAAAATCTCTCTTCATGCGCCTTGATCGTCAGCTCCACATACTTATCCGACTCATAGTCATCCTTCAGGCCGAAAAGTCGCCGCAGGTTTCCAGGGGGCAAGTACTTGCGACTATCTTTGTCACTGAAGATTCCATCGACGGGGTCTGTTCCTTCTCTGAGAAGACCAGAGGGCGCCATGTAGGAGAAATAGCTCCTGCGGCATTCCAGTACTTGGTCCCGTGGGAGCAGATTCTTGACCTAGGTCTGGATTGGTATGGGAGCCATGATGATGAAAAGGAGGGACTTACGAATAGATACCCATCACGGACAAGTCTCTCCCGCATGACCTCAATCGGTGTGTCTTTCGATGTGGGTTGGAGGTATCCGATCTTCTCCGGCAGCATGGGCCCAAAGTTGGATTCGAGCTCGAGGTTTTTGGGATCTGTGGGATAGTATTCTCCGTATTTATCATCTGGAGGTAGTTTGCAATCGCTTGCTACGAGACGAGCGGAGGTAAAGACCTCGGATTCACACAGAGTCGTTGTTGACATTCTTGTAGTAGGGATATAAGGATAGCTGATGATGGCCGCACTTCGTTACAAACAGGCAGTAGAAATTAATTGAGGAGATTGTTTCAGAGAAAGTGTCAGGCTGGATGGCGTGGATGGCTTCTCCTTGATATAGGGCAAACCAACGCTCGACAAGACCAACAGACCTACAGCCGTCTATTGCCGACCCTGGGGAACCCCGCATCTGTCCCGCACTTCTACAACCGACGTCTCTCTCATCCCCATTTTGTCTCTGACCTGAATTCAATCAATCCGTACAGCGGTCATGACTCGAAGTACCGGCGCAAGGCTCTACCGGGCATGTCTTCGTTGTCGACAACGGAAAACGAAATGTGATTTGTAGGTACAGCCCATATACCACACCTTTTATTGCTTCTCACATCCACCATCCCAGGAAATATACGGGAGGAGGGTCCCATGCGCCATGCTCAAAGTGCGACCTGGAAGGCCATCAATGCCTACCAGCCAGTTCCCGAAGAGGAGGTGACTACTCTCGATTTCGGGGTCGTCGTCGGGGAAACGCCGAGACGCAGACCCCGAGGTCCACTGAGCAGAGTGAAACCAAGACAGAACTACAGCCGAATACCTTGCAGGCGGAAACGGTGGGCGTGGACAGTAATACCCTTTTCAGTGGGGGTGTCCGGAATCCCTTAGAAGCTCTTCAAATCCTTGCTCAGACAGCCGCCACTGCGGGGGGAGATGACAGCATACCTTCGCCCGAGAGGCCCTCTCCAAGATCCGATGACACAGGGCATGAGGTGGTGAACTCTGTGCCTCCTAAAATTCATAACCAACCTAGGGCATCCATAATGGCTACAGAGATCGTCAAGGAGGGAGTAATCAACGCACTCGACATTGAACCCCTGGTACACTAGTATGTCCCGCTTCCATGGCTATAGTGCCTGCACTAACACATAGGATACAACAAGCTATGGCATAAATTACCATCCTTATTTTCCTATCGTGTCCAGCAGCCTATTGGACACAGAAGACCCCGAGCACCAATGGGCTACTGAGACGTTTCTCCTTACCTCCGTCCTTACAATAGCCACCCAGAACAGGCCGGATCAGAAACATCTTCACACCCGGATCAGGGGGTATATCGATAAACTAATCCTCCGTGTCACCCTTGGTGCTCGGAGCGTGCGACATGTTGGAACTGTTGAAGGCTTGCTACTTTTAGCTGAGTGGATGCCTCATCTAATGCTCTCCCAGGATCAGCCCTACAGCAATAACTCTGAGCAGAGGAATGCATATGACGAAGACTGCGTAGCATGGAACCTGATAGGTCTTGCAGTCAGACAGGCATATTTATTACATTTAGATACACAATCCTTTCCTTTCGAGGTGGAATCCGAGCCACTTAGTATGCGCTGCCGGAGACGACTGGCGTGGATATGTATGCGATCCCGACCTCAGGTATCACGACTCAACATCACGACTAACTGTTTTAGTTACCTATCTCGCCGACCGGCAAATATCAATCCAAATGGGCCAAGCATTCTGGTCCCGCGGACCTAGTCTGTCGACCCGATTCAGCAGCCAAGATTACCCATCACTCCAACCGGAAATTACTGGCGGAACGGATTACGCCTCCTTCGTCCAGGCCCAAGTAGACCTAACAACTATCTTCGGAAACACTCACGACATTCTGTACGCATTAAAGTCGCGCACACTACAGATAATGATCGTTGGCGACTACCCCAAATACCTCGACGATTCCGCCAAAGCAATGGAGATGTGGAAGGGAACCTGGTCAAACGTCGACATTCCCCCGTCTCTGCGCTGTCTCCTCACCCTACAATTTCAGTACTTACAACTATACGTCAACGCTTTCGCATTCCAGGCGGTTCTATATCGCTCTTCTAAAACCACAAACACGAGCCATGAAGACAACGCAACTTTATTCCCAGACGGCGTCATGGCCAGTGCCGATGCTCGCCACATCTACGCAGCCATCAACGCAGCCAGAGATTTACTTCAAACATTCGTGGAAGAGATAACCCCATCCGACATTGTGAAGTTCCTCCCTGTTCGCTATTACCTGTGAGCCTTCTCCTGGACCTCGGTACTCCTTTACATTAGACAAAGACTAACGAACTAGCTACGAAATCTATGCCTCCGTCTTCCTCTTCAAAGCCTACTCCGTCGGAGCCATCCCTCCCGACGAATCCCAAACATACTTTAACTTGACCCGACAATTCATCTCCATGCTCAAAGGCGCCGCTACAAGCCAAACACATATCGCCCATCGCTATGCAAAATTACTAGGCCATCTATGGTGTCATGGGAAGGTTACTCCCGAGTTGCACCAGGGTAGTGCCATCCAAGAGGACGAATATACCACGCTGCAGCAGTATACATCGTCTGCACCTGCGGATTCTGACGGTTTTCTTCAGCCAGCCAGTGTGAATACTGATTTGATGGATGTGTTTTCGGGTTCTTTGCCGCTGGATCTGGGCCGCTCTTGGGATTCTGACTTTTATGATGAGACGCTGTTTTCCAGTTTGCCGTTCTTTCGTGGGTTTCGCGATCTGGAGGGTGACTATGTTGCGTAAGGAGAGCTTCCTGGGTGTGCGATGTATTAGTTCTAGCAGCTGTGTATCTTTGATGGACTTCGTGTATGGATTTACGATCGTGATCAGCCCAGCGCAACATAAATGAGGAAATTAACCAATGGATAAAGTTGTCGTTAAGAATAGTATATTGTAATATTCAATGGTTGTAAGTGCCAGAATAATGATACCCCAGTGCCACGATTCATACTTCTTATACTGCCACATTGCTGACGCCATCCAAAATATATAACTACCAGTAACCAAAGAGCTTCAAGTACTGCTTGACCAGTTTTGCTTTGCTCTTATAAACCTCGTCCGGGTTGGCATCAGCTGCCGGATCATCACGGTACAATCCCCGTCCTCCGACAGCTGCACAGAAGCCAAAAAATGCAACCAACTTCTCTGCGCCCTCGATATCTTGAGGCCTGTCTACCTCTGCCATGTGCAAGGCCTCGTATAAATTCTTCGCTATGTTATAGTGGCATTGTGCACCCATGCCATCGTTGTAGTATGCATAGTTGTCAAGATCTCTCAGATCGACGTCCACGTCTCCATCTGGAAATCCTTCTAAGATGCATCGGGACATAACACGGCTGTCCTTATCCATGGGAAATAATAGCGCGCCGTGTAAGCTATTGTACGAGTAGATGAACTCCTCCAGGGGATGGCCGAGGGAAGCATAGTTCCAGTTGAGGATGTAGGATATGATCGGTGTTTGATCTGGTCTTTCTGAGACTAGAAAATTCCCAAGTTCTAAAGCTTCGTGTTAGCTAATTGTTCACAGATAAACGATGGCTCAGGGGATGCTTACCGATCCTGTTCAGGGTGAATGTTGGGCGATACTCGGGTATCTCAGCCACTACATCAGTAACAGACTTCTCGACGAACTCCTCAAGCTTCCTTCTCAACTCTGGGCTCCTTCTCCAGCCATCGATGTCTGGTCGCTTTTCCGCCCTTCTCAAGTCTCGCCGCAGTAGCTCGGTGAGATAACTCCCTAAATTGCCAAACGGACCTCCAACTCCGTTCATGAGGGCCTCGCCAGAGCGAACATATCCTTCTTCCGAAAATCTGAAACCCCCGTATCCCTGGCATATAGCCATGTGATCATAGTCCTGAAAAAGCTTGTGTAATGTGGCAATCTGTCCCAAAATCTCGCCCTGGTGTTCCGAAGACATTTGATAAAACGACTCACTGAGTGGGGCATCCCCGGGTGGATGAGAGCTATGGATAATCCATGCCTTGTTATGTTCATCATCACTTCCATCGCTCCATGCATATACCTCTGGCACAGTGCGGAGAAAGACGGTGTTGTAAAGAATCGTTCGCGCCGTATACATAGCAGCGACTTTGTTCTCCGCCCAGCGTCTCTTGTCCATATTTTGTTCGGGGACTTTGAACTGTATGATCACTTGTTTCGTTCCTGATGGCATGCGTGCCACTCCAGGCTGTCTAGGAGTATCTCGTATGTTCCACATAGTATGGAGGAAATAGACTTCATATGAGATGGTATTTGCGTTGTAGTCAAGAATGGGAGCGCGCTCAACTGCGTCAACGGTGATACCAAATGTCTTCTCCACCAGTTCTCTGGCGCGAGCATCGAGCCTGGATGACCCTGTAGCAGATGAAGGGGGTGAAGGTGGGAAGGTAGATCCGGCCATAGCGAGCAATTTTTGTCGACTGTGTGTTAGTGAAGTAGGCCGATTATGTTTATAATGACTGCGATGAGTGTGATAAGTAGGATGGCCAGAGTTCCTGGAGTTGCTGTTGAGGCACTATTTAAAAACAATGAAACGGGTGGCATAGGAATTATCAGTATATTTAGACTCCACTTGCTTGAACAGGGTCGACTATTGTATAGGAAAAGAATGTGTCAAAGAAAGGAGCGTTAGTTTGAAAGCAAAATATGGTCAAGTCATAGGGATATGCCTCTTCAAGTTGTGCTTTCTCTTGGGTATGCATCATGGCCGTGATGCTTTGTGAGTTCTATACTCAACATTCTCCTACACGTGGCAGGTACCGGTCTCGCCGACCAATATAGAGGGTCCGACCCAGACCTCGCTGGGCATTACTCCAACTCTTTGTAGCCTGCAACAGTCATCCTTCCCGCCCATCGTACGCTTTTCAACGCCTGTCGTAAATGCCACAACTTTTCAAAGGAGATGCCCGATGGGCCAAACAAATCGTTTTATCGACATTGAGTCATGATTCCAGCATTAACAGCTTATGCTCGTCATCACATCTTTAAAGTATGTCGATATTCATATCATCTGTATGGTTCATGTCGAGAATATCTTCGAATGTCTTCAATGGGCAAGGTACTGCAGGATCTGAATGGAAAGAAGGTTTACTGTCAATGAGTTGACTCATACCATTTCAATGTGGGCGAGATGGCGTAAACCGAACGGATATACCTGCGACAGGAAGAACTAAAAGCTTGAGCACTTTCGCTAAGCTTCGTCGCTTTATCCCATTATTTATATGTCAAATATAAACTCGACTAATGAAACTCTAAACAAAGCGCATGCATCGCCCCGGATGTACACCCACAGGTGGAAGGCACATGCCTTAGCGACGAGCCAAATCCCTTGTTACCACGGACAAGTGATGTGACTTTCGCTTCACGTTATACGTCGACCGCTAATGCTATCGGTAGACATGAGTTCGGCTATGGCTAGACAAAACACGTAGCAAATACTAAGTAGGGTTCCAGAACAGCAAAAGCCTAGCTTGTTAGCCCCTCCCTGACAAGAACTGTCAAGTATGCCATGTAGACAAATCCTAGCATTCGTATCCAAGGTCACGGTGAGCATACGGTGAAACTGGGAGACAGATCCGATTGATTTTACAATGTAGCTTCTCGGCGTTTCTCACAACAATTGTTGTGGAGATGGTGGAGTGTGTCGTGATGATGGGAATTGTTGTCATCGGAGTGAGTGTGAGGATGCACTCTGTATGAGGGGATCATTTGTAGTATCTTAGTCAATCATCTGCCTAGCCATGCTGCGGGGTGATCAATTTCACATGGCAATCCTTCTCAATCCATACCGAGAAGCTCGTTGGTCTAGCTGCGTACCATGACGTTGGCAGAGAGGATAGCTCCCAAGTCAAGCGAATCACGGAACGAGCATCGGCAATTGACAGCTGGGGGCCTCGGTTCGGGATGCAGGAGTAGCAGCAATAGTAGCAGCTGGACCCTTATATAATAGACAGGAGCGACCCTAACAGACGGGCCAGAATCAGGAGACCGGCAGTAATGGATGGCAGTCAACTACCGCCGATCCACCAGAGGAGCCCTCACATTGGCTGACACTCCGGGGACCCCGCGCTACCCCAACATTCTCCCCGGACTAGTCTGCCTTTGGCTGGTCCCTTATCATGAATCCTCATCAAACTCGCCAGCCAGCAAACACGCGGCCATGAATCCACTTGTGCTACCGGACAAGTCATCCCCGATCGACTTGGGACCCCCTGGTGGGGTGGGTTAAATCCCCAGTTGCCTGCTGCTCCTCCTGGCTATCGTACGATCGTGAACCCTCTCTCGAACGCATCGTGCCACCTTGCAGCACCCCATCTAGCCACCCAATGTCCAGAATGTCGCTCGAAGATACCTTGAAGTCCCGGTCGGATTACATTGAAAAGACCGAACTGGGCGATCTGACCACGGAACTGCCAGGGAGTTCCCTTTCGGAGCCACACAAGGCATACCTGCTACAGCGACATGGCACGTTAGATCTGGATCCGGTCCCTAGTATGGACCCTGCGGATCCGTACAATTGGCCCCTCCTGAAGGTGAGGAGGCCCTTTTCCGTCGACAGAGACAATGGCAACTAACGAACCAGAAAATCATCAACCTCCTTCTAGTCGCTTTCCACGCCTGTATGGGCACTTTTACCGCCGCAGCCGTCATCCCAGCCTACGAAGAAATTGCCGAAGACGTGGGTGTCTCTCTGCAGCGAACAAGCTATCTGACCTCTCTCCAAATCGCCATTCTCGGTGGTGCTCCTCTTTTCTGGAAACCACTTTCCCAGCGCTACGGACGCCGTCCTATCTTCCTCCTCTCGTTGATCCTCAGCTGCGTCTGCAACATTGGCTGTGCTAAGAGCCCGGATTATGCGTCTATGGCTGCATGTCGTGCCTTGGTGGCGTTTTTCATCTCCCCGGCTATGGCGATTGGCAGTGCTGTTGTCACGGAGACATTCTTTAAGCGCGAAAGAGCACAATATATGGGTATCTGGGCGGTGATGGTCACTCTGGGAGTGCCTGTGGGCCCTCTGATTTTCGGATTCGTCGCCCAACGCGTGGGATATCAATGGATTTATTGGACTCTGGCTATTGTAAGCACCGATGTCGCAACCTGTGGGGGGTTTGCAACTAACAATGGACTGTCTAGACCAACGCCGTCCAATTCATCCTCTACATATTCTTCGGTCCCGAAACACGATACATCGGAACCGACATGCACGCCTCCTCGGCCTTCAAGCACCAATACCTCTCCATCCGACGTATCGACCCTACTCCCTTCCAACTCGCCGAGTTCTACCATCCCCTCACCCTCATCACCAACATTCCCGTCCTCATCGCCTCGGCCGCCTACGCCATGGTCTTCCTCTTCGCGTCCGTCATGAATTCCGTAGAGGTGCCCCAACTGCTACAGTCGAAGTTCGAGCTCAACGCGGAACAACTTGGGTTGCAATTCCTGGGTCTCATTATCGGTTCGCTCCTAGGTGAACAGCTCGGTGGTGTTCTGTCGGACACTTGGATGAATCTCCGCGCAAAGCGGACCGGTCACAAACCTGATCCCGAGTACCGCCTGTGGCTCAGCTATATCGGATACTTGCTTACTATTGCGGGGGTGGTGGTGTTCCTGGTCTGCACGGAGAACGCACAGACCGGGAAATGGAGTGTCAGCCCGATTATCGGCACAGGGATTGGTGCGTTCGGGAACCAGGTTGTCACTACGGTGTTGATCACATACGCGGTCGATTCGTACCCGGCTGATTCAGGGAGCGTGGGTGTATTCATCAACTTTATCCGGTCAACATGGGGGTTCATTGGACCATTCTGGTATGTCATCCACGTCTATTGCAATTGACTATCTACTAACAGTTATCAGGTTCCCCGATATGTTCGATACTGTGGGCATTGCGAAGAGTTCCGGTGTGGTGACGGCGTTGCTGATGGGCGTGAGCTTTATCCCTACAGTGATCTTGCAGTGGCGGGGGAGCAAGTGGAGGAGTACTTAATTCATACACCATAGATCACATTATATATTAGTATGATAACGAAGTGAAATTCAATCAATCAACCACCCCTAACATAGACTCTTTCCCTCTATGCTAAGCATACCACTCTTATAAAACTTGCGTCACGTCTATCACCACATTACCACCGAACCCTCCTCCTCTAACCCCAAAGCAAATTCAATTAACCGTATTCAAACACTGACTCCGCACCAACCCCCCCTCCCCATCCCTCCCAACCCTACTAGTCTGCACCGGCATCATCCCACAATCATCCAACACCCACGTCAACACCCTAACCACCTCCCCCTCCGTAACCCCCTCATTCACCCCCAACTCGACAGCCCGGATCCACGGCGACGCCCCAAAACACATATTACACATCAACTTCCGTCTCTCCCAACACACCTTCTCCACCATGAAACTCGTCCGAAACGCCGATGAGTTCGAGACCAAAATGCAGTCCCGTGGTGTTTTGGCGTCCAACTCGCCCATTATGTCGATCTTGAGCGGGAGGTGTTCCGGTACGCATTCGATCACGAGCCACGCGTCGCTGACTGCGGGAGTTATGTCCGGGGAGGAGAAGGGGTGGATTTGTCCGACGGGTCGGGAGATTAATGGGAAGGTCGTGTAGTGCGCGAGGTTCTCGGTTATGTAGTGTTGGGCGGAGTGCAGGGCTCCTTGGCTTGGGTCGTGGAGGTGCACGGTGTGGCCCGCTGCGGAGAAGATGCAGGCGATGCGGCGGCCCAGGTTGCCAGCGCCGAGGATAGCTAGGGGGCGGGTGTAGATTGTGGGAGGGGAGTAGGGGATGGTTGGGAGGTCGTCGATGTGGTCGGTGGGTAGGGTTAGAGTTGTGGTGCTGGGGTCGGTGGGTGGTGTGGCTGGGTTGGTTGTGTCTAGGTTTGTGAGGGACATTATGTGGATGATATTGATGTATATTCCAGTGTAATGAGGAGAGGTATATTTAGGGGAGGTGGTTAGCTAGTATAGTTGTCTATATATGAAGCCGTACCCCGAGCCACGACCGGTTTCTATCTCGGGCGAAAGCAGGATCTAATCCCCGGGAAAACATGAGATATGAACACCGTCGGGATTCATTGTCAGTTTTATGCAGAGGCAACGCGCAGGGGATGAAATTGTTCCTTGATGAGGAATATCCCACATGACATCATGGTAAATGATCCTCTAAGGTGATGCCTGATCGGGATATAGATTGGAGGTGAGAGTTCGGATCGGGGATATGGTTCCATGTGGTGGCTGGCCTTCCGAACAGCTGTTGGCAGCACTATCCTATGACAGGGAATTGGAAATTTTAACCTGGCCAGAGTCTGCCCAGACAGGGTTTGTAGACCTGGAAGTGTAAAGCCTAATTGGGTTGTTGGGATCATCCAACGCGAGAGTATGACGGGTATCAGTACTATGCACTTCAGCCTGCCTCGGGAATAGGAGGGACCTGCTTTGAGTGGAAGTACTCATATGAGGGATTGAAGCTGTCATATCCTGTATTTTATGTTGCATCGTTAAGGAGCTGCCGTTCACAGTGACGCGCGGCGCTGCCTGGAACTTCCGAGGCTTATATTCCCACCAATCAATGAAGCTTATCTCAAAAGGGAAACAGGGAGAATGGTTCCCTGCCTACGAGGGACTGCGTGGGCAATCCGTGGTCAGAAGTAGGTAGAGGGATTGCAGATGGGGGTCACAGCAACATCTATCAATGATCGACTGGCATCCATTGACCCGAACGTGGATTTATGTTTGCAGCCCGAGTCCAACATCGTCTTATGTGACATCACAATCTGCTAATACTCCCAAGCAATTCAGCTTTGCTGCTCAACCGCTACCCACATCTAACAACTGATATCGTCCGGCACGTTCTCACAATCAGAGCTGGTCTTCCCTCCACTGACATCCACATCCGTCCAAGTCCAGTCCGTGCAGCTGTCCGATCCGCAGACAATATAGATATTCGTACCCGAGCTCTCTACACTCCCCTGCACATTGTCCAGGACAAAGTCTTCAATAGTAATGCCATCAGTCGGGGATTCGCTCGTATCGTCATAGTTCTGCTCCACCACAATACCGTAGTCGGTGATATCGGACAGGGTTATCTCCTTGTAAGTGACCTCGCTGACCGACCCAGTGTCGCCGTAGATGGTCTTGATGCGCACTCCTATACTCTGCTTAGCATGTGATCGCACCGAGCCACAACCTTAATACAAAACCTACCGTTCTGAGAGCTCTTGATCTCCGAGTCATAGAATGTCACGTTCTTCACGGTGTTGTCACTGCGACCACCAACGGAACCGATCGACAGCCCGTGGCCACCGGAGCAGACGCCGCCCGAGAAGTAAATGTTCTGTTCCATCAGTGCCACATCCATAGTCTGAAGCAAGGTATACCCACCTCGCCTGAGTTCACCGCCACACAGTCATCTTGGTTGTATACATTTGCGCCCGTGATGGTAATATACGTGCTGTCCCCAATGTCGAACCCATCAGTGTTTGCTGCCTCGCCATCATCGCCATCCGAGTTGTCAATGGTGATGTCCTCCATCGTAAGATAGGTCGATCTATCGATGCTGAACACTTGCACCGGCGAGTTCTGGATGTAGATCCCGCTGATCGTGGACGAGGTCAGATCGTGGGCGTAGAAGAACTTAGGCTTCGTCTTGCCACCATTGCTGCCCTCGCCGTCCCACCAACGACTGCCGTCACCGTTGAGATAGGCGCCGTCGGCTCCGGTGACAGTGATGTCAGTTCCGGAGACGGAGACAAGGGGTCCGCTCCATTCCTCGTAACCAAACGTGGTTTCGCCTTCGAAGATGACCTGTCCACGTTAATTGTGAGGATCGCGCGTCGAGGAACAGTAACTTACGTGAGTCCCATCATTCAGATCGGTCAAATCCAAAGTGGTACCTGAGGGCACTGCCACATCGGAGAGCACAATGGTGGAGCATGAGGTCTTGGACTTGCTGGCCGACGAGGCCCCCTCGGACCCGGAGAATGTGCACGAGGTTGCGCGCTTCTCCAGATCCTCGAGCTTGGGGGCGGGAGTCACCAGGGGATCGGCAACGGGGCTCGCACTGACCAGTGCCGCCCAGAGCGTTAGGATGATCACCGAACTAGAAGTCACCATGTTGAAGACGCCCCAGATCAAAGTATAAAACAAGCTTTTAGTTAATGTCTTGGTTCCTCTTGGAGTTTCTTGGCTGGCACTAGGTGCTCATTTTATACTCCTTGCATCTGTCATCGGGGCATCTCTGCTATCTCTGTGGTGGAATATCTCCCTGGTTCCTGTGGACGGCACTTCGCACCTCCGACGGAAGAACTGCCGTAGCGCGCGGGACAATGTGATAGTTCCTGCAGCACTTCTGCACGCTTCTTCTCCCCGCGGAGCGCCACACTATATTTCCCGTGCCTGACGCGCAATTCCTGTAGTGAACCTCATCCGGTTACCCGGGGCGTGCAGCGATGAGTGGTGGGAAATTCTGATCGGTCACTGTACCTGAGGCAGCCATCATGGCGGCATTCTGCTTATGAGGGTTCTATTTTCCGATGGGGTCGGCAGTCGGACGCCGGGATTATCTATGAAGAATCGATGATGATCGTGGCAGGCGTGTTGCAGGAAGAGTAGCGGTTTGCGAGCCCCCAAGGGTGTCATCACACGGTCTCATACAAGACTGGCCATATTTTAGCTTTGGAGCATAATTGTGACCGTATTAAGCTGCATTATTGACTGACTAGGCCTATGTGTGACATCGCTGACATCTCCCTGTTATGCAGGCGACCATGGGGATGCAGTTAGACCAGAGGCAGATGGTGTTTGGCAATCCAATCTTGGAGAACACTGGTCGTGATGAACAGACACCACAGGGGTAGCCAGACATCCCATATTACCTGAGAAACTGGAACCATGAAGATTCGTATGCTGATTTGGTCAAAGAAAAAGGGGTTTCACAGACATTATCTGACTCCGTCCTAATTACCAGGAGCCTTAGCAGACGCGTATGGCAATTTCGGACCTAGTTGGCCATCACTGTCGAATGTTGCCCCGTTAACAGCACATGACTTCCCTGGCCTGTTGCCTGACATCATATGGAACCATGACTAAAACAAGCTATTCTCATTCCGTCGATCAATCAGTTAATCAATCAATGATTGATTCCCCCTTGCTGATGGCCCAAGAGAGACTGATTGATAAGGCGCGATAAGACAGCGATAAGATAGAACGATCGGCCTCTTCCGCGACCGGGACTGCCCGATGCCGATGGAGGCGTGGGGAATGCGACAGCTATTTAACCATTGTCCATGGCTCGCAATTGTGCTAGAATCCGGATCGCTTCTGAGAGATTTGCACGATGGCCCCTACAGTTCACTCACTACCTCCGCCTCCGGGCTCCGATATTGATTTCGGAGCCATTGTCGAGAATATCGACCTCGAGAACTTGACCGGTAGGATCAGCTAATTGCGATGCCATTGGAACCGCTGCTGATACTTGTTAGATGACGACTTCAGCGTCATTCGCAGAGCGCTGTACGAGAACCTCGTGGTGGTGGTGAAAAACCAACACCACCTCTCCCCGAAAGCACAATACGAGCTTACCCGTCGATTCGACCCGGCCGCCTCGCAGTACGGCCACGGAAAGACCCTTGATGCGAAACGGAGCATTCTGCATCCCGACCTTAAGACCGTTCCTCATCAGCCTCAGGTCCAGGTGATCGGCCATGGTTTCGTGGAGGCGTACGAGGGCCTCACCAATATCCAGCTGAAACACCCCCACCATCGCACATTCCACCGCGACGCTATTCCCGACGAGGAGGACTATGATTTCACCCGCTTCTACCGCTGGCACATCGATGCAGCCCTGTATGATTTTTACCCACCTAATGTCACGACTTTGTTGGCAGTGCGCGTCCCCAAGGGCCGGAGACAGACATTGCGGTATGACGACGGATCGAATGAGACGCTGAATGTGCCTTTGGGAACGACGGCATTTGTCAGCGGCGAAAGAATGTTTGAGATGCTCTCGGACGAAGACAAGCAGTTTGCGCTTACGAGTCGCGTAGAATATGCGCCCCACCCGTATGTTTAGCTAGTCCTGCCATGATTGTGAAGTCCACTAACATGAACAGTTACATCTGGATGAGCTCCGCTCGTGCTCTTCCCACTGGTCTCGGTCTCTACTCCGAGGACAAGGAACTGCCTTTGTCTGACCTACCTCCTATCGATGAATCCAAAATCCAAGTCTTGCCCATGGTATGGAAGAACCCCTTGACGGGCAAGCCTGCCCTTCAAATCCACCCATCTGCGGTGCGCAAAATCCACAGCAAGGATGGCACCGTGATTGATGATCTGGCTCGCGTGCGAGAGATTGTGTACAAACTGCAGCGCCCAGCGATCAGCCCTCCTCATGTGTATCCGCATGACTGGGAGGAGGGTGATCTGGTACTATTTAACAATCGGGGAGTTATCCACTCGGTCGTTGGGGCGTTTGGCAAGGACGAGGTGCGGTTGTTCCGGCAGTGCAACCTGGCGGCGGGAGAGGCGCCACTGGCGTATGAGGCATGATCAATAGACTTACATAAATTAATGATATTAATCTCATGACTCTCGAAAATCTCGCTTCATTCTCATACTTGTGCTTCTGGTGGAGGTTTGGTGTTGCTCTCTTTGAGCAGATATACGACGGTGAATGTCCTGCAACGTACCTGCCACTAAGTAGCTCATCCTATGTATTCCAGTTACTATCGATCCATCGAGAAGAACATCATCAAAATAACCTCACGTGAAGGTATATATGCATTGGGTATATAACTGCCTGTCTAATTACTATTAGGTATGTTCACATTTACTTTTATGCACATCCATCGTCTATCGTCTATCATCTATCATCGCTCATCCATCCATCCTTTTTTTTTCTAGCGCGCAAGTTCCTATTATTGTTAGCTTGGTAAATAGTCTACCATGGATGTGAACTTACACTTGCGAGCTTGCTCTTCGCGCGGATCCGACCGCCGTAGAAGACAAGGACCCACGGTACTAGGGTCAGAAGAAGGCCCTATACTAATTAGAATCACACACGGATACTATTGGATCTCAGACACAACTTACAATTCCACCAAGGAGACTCGATGCTCCAGGATATCCAAGGTTGGTGAACATGGCATTGGTGACAAGAGGGAAAACACCACCCAGCAGGTTTCGGCCTGTTCGAGTCAGCATGTTGCCTTTGATCCGGGGGTCTTGTATTAGGAGTAAGACTTACAGCACGACTGAGCTGCAATCGCAGAACTGGCATACCGGTGGTAGGTATCCGCCAGGTAGTTGAACACGGCCAGGTAGACCGCGAAGATTCCCATGGTAGCGCAGGCAATTGCCAGCGTCGGGACAATCCATGGAACAGACGAGTATGAAGTCCAGCCAAACCAAAACAGTCCGATGGGCATCAGGATGGATTCAATGCAGACAAAGTACAGTCGAGCCTCGGGTTTCTTTGGGAGAAATCCGTACTTGTTGGCGATCTTGTCTTGCAGGATACTGACGATCGTGATAATAATGGCACCAACACACATCGCTGGTGACGTTAGCAACTGGTAGGTTAAAGATAGGAAGAGCAATCATACAGGCAAAGACAGCTCCGGTCTGCTCGGTAGTGAAATGGTGATTGGTCTTGAAAACCAATGGAATGGAACCGAACTGCAGGTACAGAACAGCCCAGCTGAACGACACCCAGAGGGAGAAAAAGAAGACCACAGGTTCTGTGAAAAGCATGTCTGAAACTACATCAGTCCAGATCCCTAAGCTGTGGAACACGGTACTTACGAAATGGACGATAGCAGGAAATGCTGATCATCTGCAAGAGAGACTCGCGCTGCTCGTCACTCTTCACTTTCCATCTGATCCGTTTGGCCTCGTTCTTCTCGCCCATGATGACTCCAAAGTGCCCAGCAGCCTCGAGCTGCTCATAGTAGTTGTTCACAGCCTTTGCTTTGCGGCTCAATAGAACACTTCCGCGTGTCTCTTTAAAAAAGAAATAGATGACCACCACGAAGAAAGCTGACACGATGGCATGCGACCAGTAAATCCAGCGCCAGGATGTGTGCGCTACGATCGCACTGGAGCATAAGGGCGCCAATCCGGTTCCAAAGAGCGCGGCACCGGAGAACAAAGCCATAGGGGTATTGCGTTCCTCGGCATGGAAAATGTCGCTAATCACACCACCAACCATGGTCGAAAAGGTCGCTGTCGCCAGTTAGCTACGCATCCACGGTATGATCTTCCCCGTCTGTACATACATGCACCCACACCCTGAAACAGTCGCGCAATAATAAGTCCTGCGAAAACATGCGTGCCTCCGCAAGCAATAATGCACGCTATTCCTGTCAGCTTCCATCGGGATCCACGGGCGCGAATCGCATACCAGTAAAAAGCACACCACTTGCGACAAAAATCGGTCGCCGACCATTAATTTCCGAAAAGGGCGCCAGAACCATCGGGGCCAGCGCAAAACCGACACAGAAAATCGTGATGCTCAAATTGTATACCACCGCACTGATCCCCCACTCCGCCGTCAGCTCCGTCGAGGCTGGGTTCACCTCGCCTGCCGAATAACCAGCCAGTGCGGTCACTGCGCACGCAATCCAGGTCATCATCCACTTGCGCCATTTCGGCCAGAGGAACGGGGAGGTATATTTCTCGAGACTCGGGGGTTCGGGAGGGGGCGATTGACCGGGGCCCGGGGGTGCAGTGATTAACGGTGTCGGTAAGGGTGTTTCCAGCTCGAGGTAGAGGTATTCAATCTCCTGCGCGGCGGCATCCTTTTCAAGACTGAAGACGGGGTCGATAGGGCGATCCAACTCGGGGGAGTAGACGGTATCTGCGGAGCCCGACTCACTCGGAGAAGGGGCCTCGTGAGTATGCATTCCCGCGACAGGCTGCTCTGGCTGTGAGGCTATTATTGCTCGATGCAGAAATTGTGTGTGCCATTACTGGCGCCGGGACAGGGCCCTTTTTAAAAGATGACGATCCAGCGTTCCAGCCAGCGCGGGAGTTTAGTGCCGATGGGACCAATTTGGAGAAAAGTTGATTATCAACATCGAAGGATTGATTACTTTGATTCCACTAGATGGTAGGTTGTCAAAGCCGCTGCGATCGACGGGTCGCCACGCCCTATAACCGCACTTGAAAGTATTCCCTCGGCAATGGCTCCCGAGGCTAAAGCTGAGTTTACATGCAGGACAGAGCACTATGCTTCAAAGAATCGACATGGAGTTTCTGAATTAGGAGTGTTTTCCACGCCAGAGCAATCAAAAACTAGTTGTTTAGTGGCTGCAAGCTGACGCACTGCGACCGGGGCCCTAAAATTTTGGCGTGAAAAACCCGGCATTCCCCACTTCGGCTTCTCCAATTTGGAGACAAAATCACATAAACATTCCCTTTCCTGACTCATCGATATGCCGTTTGCCGATGCGGAAAGTTGGGGAAGTTTGGGGAATCGGCCGAGATGTTTCTATTTCTACGTATCTTAACTGAGCCCTACCCTGGTCTTCATCTTTTTAACCATTGTTGACGCATCCCTGCACAGGGCCACATGTTCCTCCGATTTCTTGATGGAGATCCGATTCTATTAGCTCATGGGCCCATCTTGGGCCATGTGCCGTTCGGGGAGATGCGTTACAACTCCGGACCATGGTGCTCTCAAAGCCGCAGCCTGCAACTGATAGATCGATTCTGAAGTTTGTGTCGCGTGGCTGATAAGGATTCGAAACAACTACACAGGGCGTTCTCCGCAGTGTGTCGGTAAAACTTCGACCACTTTAGCGCTAAAGCCCCTCGGATAAGACAAGTCTACTCAGTACACACCTGCTATTCAACTGCGGGGTAAAGTGTCGACACATGATATCTTCCTAGCCTCTATTGCTCACTGGCCAGGTCTACCGAGAGCTGTCTGCGTTTCCTTGGGCACGAATGAGCTATGCATTGCGTCCTGGCCGTGAGAAATGCCAAGGACAATGGTGCATCCCTTCACCTCCGAGGGGATGCGGTGGATGCGTCAATTAGCTTACATCCTGCAGCTCCTCCCACCGACTGTTTGCGCCCAGAGGAGTCCAGAGCATCTGACTTGGAGGGCGCTTTTCGCGGGTGTCTACCTTTCTAAAAGGGACGGGACATTCTCGGCTGTATTGTGTCTGACCTTGGTATGTGGAAAGGCTGTCGGAAATGCATTCCAAGTCCGAATTGTCTGTGCAACATGCTTTTTCTGAAACTACAGGAAAGTTACAAAAAGTAACCTCTGTGGTTGATGTCTTCATGCTCCATGACCTGTAGTATCTCCGTGAACCAGATGCTATGTCATACTGCGTCTTGCTCAACAGTCAACCCATCAGAAGAGCGAAGCATGGAAAGCAATCATTTACTGACACCCAAACGCAGCCATGAGGTACTCTAAGAAGATTTCGTTCGGTAATATATCCTTCATTTACGAAGTAACCCACTCAAACGTCTATCCTAATGATGCTTCAGGGACAGTAGCATACGCAGTACTAGTGAATATATTCTGCTGTCAGGATAAATCAGGCTGTACCAGCTCGTTACACTTCTTGATTAGCTAAACTTTTGTAAAAGCAATATGGACATGTAAATATGCCCGCATAATATCCGAAGACAAACTGGGTGCTCAGGTGAGTGGTCCATACCCATAACCTGTAAGGGCAACCGATAACTTCAACACGGCGATTCCTTGTATTTCTTTAAACAGTCCTTACGCTATAAATTAAGTTGCACTATATATGCTTCGCACAAAACCCCGCAAGACGACTAGCTACGGCCTTGCTTGGCAGCAGCGTTGCCTATATATTACTCAAATGGAAATCGGTCGTTGCTCAGGCTGCCCATGGTTCTGTGTAATATTAGCATACTAAGTGAAAAGCTACTTGAGTGCTGAGTCGCCAGCACACTGAAAGCAACCTACATAATTGGCTAATTCTCACTAGGTGTGAAATGTTATGGTTCACTGACATCACGAATAGACTTCATGGTGGCGAATTCTATCCCGCGCTGTCATGATCCCACGCGGGATGCTGTAGACAATATGGAGCACCAATTCCACGTCCCGGCCAAGTCAGATTTGATACTCGATGAACGAGAACTTCATCTGGAATGTAGAATAATGTTAATAGTCGATAGCCATTATGCATTTTCTATCGTCATGAAGTCTTTGGTAGGCCTCAAGGCCGACCGAAAACCTCCCCTTTCAATATGGGGCGAATTAAAGTAACTGGGGGGTGTCGAATCGAGGACATGCTAAGAAGTTGATCCTGTGGCTCCGAAAGTCTCACCATGGGTACGAGACATTCCCCACCTGAGGCAATGTGGCAGTGTCATTCTGCGATTTAGATCGTATGTGACGATGAAGATTGCGATGCATTAATTGACGGATACATTGTGCGTTTCTTTCTGCATGAGAATATGTACCAAAAGAATGTTTGAGAATTGTAGATGAGACGGGTAGAAAGGAGAAGGTAGATCGAGTGTATGCATTATGCACAAACCAAGCGCTGTCCATCACACAAATGTCTTTGCACTGGAAGACCTATGGTAATTGAGATTTCCAGTTCTAAGTAACCTCGATAAACCGAGAAAACCCATTTTGGAATGGGCCTACGTTAGTTTGGTAAATCTAGTTGTCACCGATCTTCTGCCACTCCTGCACTGCTGCTCAACCTTCCTGGGCTGGAACCATATCAAAAGCTTCGCTGAAGCCAAGGAACAACGACACAAAATGGCCTATCAGGCCCTCTGAAATTTTCTGACAGGTTTAAACGGGACAAGAAGCAATAAATCTATGATCCGTCCATCCTAGATATACAGGAAATACTATAGAAGACATTTCTTCGTGATAACCTTCTACAGGGCACAGATGGAGAGAGCTTGCAATCGAAAGAGCTAACGGCCTGTTGCTCTCTGCAAACAACATGTGGCTTGATGACATAGGGAGCAGAGTGGGCTCCCAGCTGTCACGTCCCGTTACCTACGTCATCACCTCCTTCCTCTCCATCGCTCTCTACAATGTCGTGGAGCTAACCTTCATCCTCTTGCTGACGTTCAAGCGCCGCAAGGGGCTCTACTTCTGGAGCTTCATTGTGGCTACTTGGGGCATCGCCATCTACTCCATCGGATTTATCCTCAAAGACTTTAACCTTGTCGACAATGCCATCTCCTACTTCTATGTCACGCTGATCGTGGTCGGCTGGTGTGCGATGGTCACCGGCCAGTCGATGGTGTTGTACTCTCGTCTTCATCTCGTCGTGCGGCATCATATCATGCTCCGGTTCATCCTCGGAATGATCATCTGCGATGTCTTCTTATTACAACTACCAACTGTTATTCTATGCTACGGCGCGAATTCCTCGACCTCTGACAGATTCGTGCTACCATACGCCATATACGAACGAATCCAAGTGACGGTGTTCTTCATTCAGGAATCCATCATATCCGGTGTCTACGTATACGAGACGTTCAGATTGCTCCGCTCGGAAGATGAGGTCTTGGAAGGGTCACACCGAGAGGCTGCGCGGAGGCTGATGCTACACCTGATTCTCATGAATATCATCGTCATAGTTTTGGACATCGCGATTCTGGTTCTTCAATGGGCTGGTCGGTATGCGGCGCAAACGGCTGTCAAGGGGTTCATTTACAGTGTCAAGCTGAAGCTCGAGTTTGACATCCTAAACCAACTGGTCACATTCGTGTACCACTCTCACACATCGAATTCGGGCAACTTGGATGTAGACAGCTCGTCGAGGAATCTTTGGGATATGAACCAACAAACTGAGCCCAATACTGCTTCTGCCCGCCATCTCCATCCTAGGCATTGCGCTTGGGCTAGCGTGGCCAGCAGAGTGAGACGCGACTTCACTATCTCCGCTGAGAAGAAAATGTCCAAGATCATACAATATACCAGGAAGCAATCGGATTCCAGCGGATCCCCACAAGATCAGGGTTCAGTGCGTCCAACATAAGGAGCTGTCTCTGGGCAGTTCCGAAACGGTATTCGGACAGCTATCTTGGAACAAAAAGCGCTAGGAATATTGAATGATTTCTTGGGGGGTTCCGGTTGATTCTGGTGTTTAGTCTCACTCAGGCAGTGGACTGTTTCATGAAATTATAACAGTCGTGCAGGTGCCACCTACAAATCAGATACCTCATGACGACCAGATATCTTCGTCTTGATTTATGCAGACACAAGGGCGCTAAGAAAGCGCTCCTAAAAAGACCAAGCAGGTCCCGAAAATCTTCTCAAGACAAAGAAGAGCGTACCTAATGTTCCTGTGATGAGCCACATATCTGAAATATAATTTTGAATCGGGAGCTATCAGATCATTGTCCGTGCCAACCTTTCATAACCATGACCCGGAAGCGCAGGAGAAAGATCGAACACTATATGTATGGGAACGGGAAGAAATATATCTCGGCAGTGGCACACCACCCTCGACAACAATAATGATTACTACACAGTATATACTGGCTTTACTGAACAGGCTTTGTACATTAAGCAACAGATACCCTATAAGCCCATAAATGTTACACATATACCAGGTTACACTATAGATGTTTGTTATAGTCCTATCTTGTAGTAGATGCGATAAGATCAAACCCACCCGGAGTGGCGCCCGTCCTCCCCGAGGCCGCAGAGTAACCCAAAACGGCAAGTCTGCCTCCGGGTGTCGGCATTCTAGCCGAGGCTTGGCACTCGGTTGGGTTGCTTTGCGATTCTCAGCTGCAATGCATCATCACCAGCATCACCACGAGCTAATTAACTTGTCTGTTGTGTAACTCTCCAGCGGGCTAACCACCGGCCCAGTGATGGTGAAGCCTTCCAAACAATATCAATGCCAGCGATGTTCCCGAACCTTTGCTCGGTTGGAACATCTCCAACGCCATGATCGGTCGCGTATGATCCCCGCCCATATTTGGAGATTCCTATTGACCCCAATTCCCCCAGACACCAAGGAAAAGCCGTATCTCTGCACCCAATGTCCCAAGTCGTTCACGCGAAAGTAGGGCAAATTTCCCCTACTCAATTTCTCCACCGGCCTTTACTGAGTTATCCCTCCCACAGAGACCTCTTGGCCCGCCATGAACGTCTGGCCCACAGTGACGCCGCTCCAGGCCAAGGAACAACATCTTCGCCTTCCGTGGCATCTCCCCAAGTCTTTGATGGCCTTAATGTCCTGGCCTCAGCAGTAACTGACCATCCTACTCCTGCCACCATACCAGGCCCACAGGCCATACTCCCAGGTCCTCACGAGCAGTTTACGCCCGGCCTGGCTGCCTCAGTGCAGGGCCATCCGATAGCCACTTCCAATCCATCCGGACAAGGACCTCCAGGGTCCGCTGGCTTCAGTGAGCCATTTGTCGGTTACGGACCGGCAACCTCTTATGACGGTGATGATTTCACGACCTTCCTCGACAGTATCCCGCTTCCCAGCCATCCATTCTCACCTACCTATCAGCCCCTTCCACTATTCCCCGCGTTCCACTTCGACTCCGCATCAGAGTATAGCCAACCTGTTGCGAAGACAAATAACGAGGTTACGACCCCATCCAGCTCCATCCTTCCTAGACATGGAACACAACTACCGTCGCTTCAGCCTGAAGGAGCTCACACCCCTTACAAGACCCGAGACCCGAGTGCACCTATTTCGGTTACCGCGCAATGCCGTGATCGCATCGTCGCCGAGTTATCGAGTTACTCAAATGTTGTCCCAAATCCCTACACACCATCTCGACATGCTCTCTCCAGATGCATCAGCGCTTATATGACCAACTTTCACTGTCATTATCCTTTCATGCATCCACCCACCCTCGACGTTGATTCATTGCCTCTGCATCTGATCTTCGGTATGGCTTCCGTGGGTGCCCAATACTGCCGCGAACCCGAAACAAGCATGAGCCTCTACAAAGTGGCCAAGGCTGTGACCCTTGAACATGTCCGAAGGGACCTGCAATGGGGATGTTTAAGTCCGCAGACCGAGGGTCCGGTGGACCCGGTGTCAAGAGGCCAGGATATCATTGAGACGGTGCAGGCGCTATTGCTGCTTATATCTGTCTCGTGTTGGTTCGAGCGCGACCCCCCTCATCACGAAGCATTGTATATTCGAAGTTTCATGGAGACTCTTCTTCGGCAAGGAGGACTCAATGACTTACCGGCTCAAGATGGGTCATGGGAAAGCTGGATCCGCTATGAGATGGTCAAACGGACAAAGCTTATTGTGTTCTGTTTCTTTAGTGTCCACACGATCGTATTTGATATTCCGCCGCTGATTCTAACCGAGGAGCTGACGCTGGACTTACCCTGCACCGAGCGAGAATGGACAGCAACCAGCGCAGCTCAGTGGCTGGAAGAGCGCAGCCAGAGTCGTGGAGAACCAAAATTACAGGATGCGATGAACTCATTGTTCACTCACACCGGTGCAGCCAAGACCAGCTTGGACAGTTTCTCTTCTCTGGGAGGATACGTGCTCATCCACGCAATGATCCAGAACATCTGGTTAATTCAGAAGGCTAGCAGGCTCCCTGTCTCCAACGGAAGCTTTCTGTCTCCGTCCGTGATCACATCTTTAGAGCAAGCTCTGGAACTTTGGTGTCAATGCTGGGAGCACAACCAAGAATCCTCAATCGATCCTTTCAACCCCCATGGTCCAGTGTCCTTCACGTCTACTGCCCTCCTCCGTCTGGCGTATATCCGATTAAACGCTGATTTCAGCTCCGCCCGTCGACTGGAAACATGGAACCCGGATGAGGTTGCCCGTTCGCTCAAGAATAACCTATCCGTACAGAGGAGCGACCGTCTCACTCGAGCTGCGTTACACTGCGCCCATGCACTTAGTACGCCCATTAAACTGGGCATCAACTACGTCGCGCGTACCCTCGTCGTATCATGGTCAAACCAGTACGCGTTATGCTCCTTGGAATGTGCTGTGCTACTCGCCAAGTGGCTTGAGGTGGCAACGATCCCGAATCCAGAGCCGAGTTTGACTGAACAAGAAAACAAATTACTGGAATTCGTGCTGGAAATGGTCATGGAAGCTCAGCATGGAGTATCACGTGATTGGCTGCTTGCGAATAACACTCGTCTCAGTGCTACTGTCACCAGGTTATGGGCCAGGCTGTTTACGGCAGATTATATCTGGCAGTTGGTGAATCTGATTGGAAGTTCTCTTAACAGATATGCTGATATTCTAGAGAGTGATGAGTGAGCGTGGTATTCTCTGTGGCATCCACCTTTGAGGTGATTACTAGGGAGTCGGACTTGCTAGCAACACTTTTGAGAAGAAAGATTTCGCGCTGTGGCCGGTGGATTCTGGCGATGACCGCATGGAATGTGTGTGAAGAAAATCTATAACGCTTATAAAGGTCGCACCTCGTGGCGACCGTGGGCAGAATGCCCTTACTGTATATACCCCTGCCTTATAATCTAACCAGCTCCAATTGAGCCTCCCCAAGTTCGGATTTTTCATTAGGATTACGCGAAATGGGTTATGATTGCCTAAGAGCTCTCTTTTGCTACAAGACCTCTTAATGACATTAACTTGTCGTGTATTCCTACTACTCGTATCAGTCCGACAGGACTAGTGCTGGCCCATTCACCAAAAAAAAAAGTCAATCAACGACAGGAGTAGATCCTTCGCAGCCCCTCTCCCCAAAACACTACATCCGACTAAGAGCTATCCCACAGACACAAAACTACTAACCACCTATGGCATTGCCTACTCATCCCAAACAACAGAGACAACCTCACCAACCAGAGACTTATAGGCAACAAGCGGCACCGGCTTTCCAGTCTTTCCATTCCACCTCGTCACACCCACCGCATGGGAGTTTTGCAATGCCTCGGCAATCATCTCGTTGCGCGCCGACATCTCAAACTGGCGCGGCGACGACCCGTAAGCGGGGTATAGGCCACCAAAGGTGACGTTGGTAGGACGGCTGCCGGTCTCATCAGCGCAGTTGAAGACGGCGATAGAATCATTGTTGGTGCCGAATGTGTTGTCGTCGCGGTTGCTGACGACGAGGCGGTTGTTTTGGGGCTATATTTGGAAGACAGTCGTTAGCTAGTTGCTCCTTGCAACCAAGTAAGGGGTAGGTGTGGTTTTCACTTACGGAGATGGCAATCTCGGCGACCTTGGAACCATTGGGGGGGACAGCACCGCCGTAGGAGTTGGCGGTATAGAATTCCGTGAAGGCGATGGTTCCGTTGGATGGATACGTCACTTTGTAACCGGTGACGTGGTTGTTCAGTTCTGATGTCAGGTAGAACACGACATCTTCGTGCTTGGCCTGCTTGGCGGTGGTTCCCGCAGGTGTCCAGAAGACACCGTGGCGAGGACCGGAGCCAGGTGCTGCTACGAGGGGAGCTTGGGGTTCAAGGAGGCCCGTAGAAGGGTTAATGAGGAAGATGCGAATCAGGTCAGCACCGAGGTCCGGTACGAGGACGAACCGTCCTGTCGGGTCGACGACAACGCCGTGGGAGTGGGGTGCATCCTGTCTGTCTGCGACGGGACCGGGAGCGGGCAAGGTGTAGGTGAAGGTTTGGGAGCGGTTGAAGACACCGCTGACGGGGTCAAGGGAGTAGCTGGTGACAGCGGATCCCTCACTGTGATGAGAGATTAATAGTGTAGTGGTAGAGATGGGAGGATCGACCTACTAATGAGCCACGGCGAAGAACTTGCGGTGTGGCACTCCCGGGGCCGAATAGAACTGCGACATGACCGGGCCGGCGATGGTCTCCAGCTGTACCACCTTGGATAGGGTGCCATTAGGTCGGATGGCAAAGGAGGTCAGGGTACCGTTGGCCAAGTCAACAGCTTCGTCCAGGCAGTACAGGACACGGTTGTCGTGGTCCAGCATCAGCCAAGACGGGTTGGTACCACAGTCAGTGGACTGGGCCACTGTTTCCAACTCATACTGTCCTTTGGAGGATTGGGACAAGGACAAGGTGGTCACGGTGCCTGCATACGAGGCAGCATAAAGTCTGGAGGCAACGGCGGAGGTGGCTCCGAAAAGGAGGGGCACAACACTGAATTTCATGGTGACAGGGATACTCAGCTCGTATCTCTACAGCAAGCACAATGCCCACTGATAAGTGATCGGAGTTCACTTGATCTGGCTGAAGAATTGGGTGGTGGAATTTGTCAACGACCTTGTTGAAGGAGAGAGTCTGGACACGGCGGGATTGGTAAACGAGGTGATTTGCAAGCAGGTGAGTTCCAGAACCTGAGGGAGTGTCTGAGTGATAAGCGCCGGTTTTAACTAGAACTGGCTGCCTATGTCTTGGCTGCAGACCTCGTGAAGAATATTTGCACTATCGCCAAGCAGGGATAGCAGAGTCTCCACGCTGAGACAGTCCCTTCCTTCATGGCCCTAACTGACCCTCTAATTGGCGCTCGGCTGGCTACTAGTTTCCGACGGCGTTTCTGGGCGCGGATGCTATGCTCTCGTGTACATCATCTTGGCCCACCTACCGGCATTATGAGTACGATCCATGGTTCCCGCTGACGGTCCGTAGATCATACTGTGCACGGGACACTGCAGGTACCTGAAGACTGGTTAGTTTGATCACCCTGAAACCGATACTGCCTTTCTTGACCTTGGTGGTGAGTTCGCACGTGGGCAGGCTGTCCAAATAAACTCTCCAATTGCCCCTCTCCCCGTGGAGAACATGCCAAACACTATAGGCTTTCCATTGAAAGCATGACGAGGACCCTATGGTTTGTGCACTTGGCGAGGGTTGACCGGAGTACTAATCGGGAAGGGCAGAACTTAGAATTCGGTGTTCTCGGCATGCCGAAAGTCGGTAGCCCTTGGCGCCACGATGATTTGCGTCTAGGATTCGTATAGTTCCTCATCCACGAGGCTGCCTATCGTCAGCATTAGGCCGTGAGCTATTATGGGGCCAACTGGGCACTACGAGCAGGACACAGCCTCTACAAAATGAGAGAGGCAAAGGATCAGGACGCCAATTCTGCGCCCCACCTGTCTAAGGATTCGCTTCCTTACTATCCAGGATAATGGCTTCGGATTAATGTGTTCGGGATGCCGACGGCTGAGCACACGGAGGATGAGATTCAGCTCACAGCCCCTATCAGTATGCAATATGAGGATGGCTTGCTGGAAAGCAGAGGAATTGGATTATCGAACAACTTGGTTCTGGACCGTTGACTCGAGCGTATAAGTAACCTGGTTCGGTCCTCCTGTCACCTTCTGAGCAGCAACCAGCCTTTCCTCTCTCATTCTTCCCTCATCTGCCCATCATGCAAACTCTTTTTGTGAGCTCGCTTGTGGTCTCCCTCGCTGCGGCCCTCCCACACTACATCAGGAGCAATGGCATCGAAGCCAGCCTCCTGACTGACCCCAAGGAGGTTGCCGGCCGCACTGTCGACTACATCATCGCTGGTGGAGGTCTGACTGGACTCACCACTGCTGCCCGTCTGACGGAGAACCCCGATATCACTGTGCTTGTCATCGAAAGTGGCTCCTACGAGTCTGACAGAGGTCCTATCATTGAGGACCTGAACGCTTACGGTGACATTTTTGGCAGCAGTGTGGACCACGCCTACGAGACTGTCGAGCTCGCCACCAACAATCAGACTGCGCTGATCCGCTCCGGAAATGGTCTCGGTGGCTCTACCCTCGTCAACGGTGGCACCTGGACTCGCCCCCACAAGGCACAAGTTGACTCATGGGAGACCGTCTTCGGAAATGAGGGCTGGAACTGGGACAGCGTGGCCGCCTACTCCCTCCAGGCTGAGCGTGCTCGCGCACCAAATGCCAAACAGATTGCTGCTGGCCACTACTTTAATGCATCCTGCCATGGTATCAATGGTACTGTCCACGCCGGACCCCGCGATACCGGTGATGACTACTCCCCCATCGTCAAGGCTCTCATGAGCGCTGTCGAAGACAGGGGCGTTCCCACCAAGAAGGACTTGGGATGCGGTGACCCCCATGGTGTGTCCATGTTCCCCAACACCTTGCACGAAGACCAAGTGCGCTCTGATGCCGCTCGCGAATGGCTCCTCCCCAACTACCAGCGTCCCAACCTGCAAGTCCTCACTGGACAGTATGTTGGAAAGGTCCTGCTCAGCCAGAACGCTACCACACCTCGTGCCGTTGGCGTGGAATTCGGCACCCACAAGGGCAACACCCACAACGTCTACGCTAAGCACGAGGTCCTCCTGGCCGCTGGATCCGCTGTCTCTCCCACCATCCTCGAATATTCCGGTATCGGAATGAAGTCCATTCTAGAGCCTCTTGGAATTGACACCGTCGTTGACCTGCCCGTTGGTCTCAACCTTCAGGACCAGACCACCTCTACCGTCCGCTCACGCATTACCTCCGCCGGTGCCGGACAGGGACAGGCCGCTTGGTTCGCTACCTTCAACGAGACCTTTGGCGACTACGCCGAAAAGGCTCACGAGCTGCTCAACACCAAGCTGGAGCAGTGGGCCGAAGAGGCCGTCGCCCGTGGCGGATTCCACAACACCACCGCTTTGCTCATCCAGTACGAGAACTACCGCGACTGGATCGTCAAGGACAATGTCGCATACTCGGAACTCTTCCTCGACACGGCCGGAGTGGCCAGTTTCGATGTGTGGGATCTTCTGCCCTTCACTAGAGGATACGTACACATCCTCGACAAGGACCCCTACCTCCGCCATTTCGCATACGACCCTCAGTACTTTCTCAACGAGCTTGACCTGCTCGGCCAGGCTGCCGCCACTCAGCTGGCCCGCAACATCTCCAACTCCGGTGCCATGCAAACTTATTTCGCTGGAGAGACTATTCCCGGTGACAACCTCGCGTATGATGCCGACTTGAGCGCCTGGGTTGAGTATATCCCGTACAACTTCCGCCCTAACTACCATGGTGTGGGTACTTGCTCCATGATGCCGAAGGAGATGGGCGGTGTTGTCGACAATGCTGCCCGTGTGTATGGTGTGCAGGGACTGCGAGTCATCGATGGTTCTATTCCCCCTACGCAAATGTCGTCCCATGTTATGACGGTCTTTTATGCCATGGCCTTGAAGATTGCGGATGCCATCTTGGCGGATTACGCTTCTATGCAGTGAGGGGTATTATGGGGATGGCAGAGGACATACTTAGACTGAGGATGTTAGAAGTCCTTTTCAGATGGTAGGGGGTTATGATAGAATGGCCAGAATGGATAGATTACATAGACAGGATTACATGAATAGACGTTCGCTTATTGCAATTACTATCACATAATTCGCACACATAAGCCCATACAAATTCGATAGCTTTATTCGTCACATGGATCCATAGAGGCTTCGTTAATCAGATGGGTATGACCGCCTGAAAAGCCTAAGGTTGCTTTCCTTCCTTCTGAACATATAAGTATTAGCTTACGCTAGGAGGATGTCCTCCCACTTTAGCCGCGCGCTCTCAAATGCTTCCCATGTGATGATACTCAGAGCAACTCTTTCCCAGAGCCCATTACGGGGATGTAAAAGAAGGAAGAAGAGGACACGAGTGAACTCGTCAAACTCGAATTCGATCCAATCGACTATATCGTTTCCCACCACAGAGCTTCGGCGTAAAACCTTTGCAGAGCACAAAAACACGTACCTGCATTTGACAATGATACCACACGGCACGTCATGGGCGTTAAATAATGGCGTACGAGGTGAATCACCATGGTCTAGATGATCGGGGCGGTGTTCGTAGGAAAATCTAGTGGCCGGAAAATACAGATTATAAAAATGCAGAATGCCACGCCCTTTTACCATAGCATTCTTTTCGCATGGCAAGTTTTGGAGGAATGTGTCCCTGTCAGAAAGTAGGTATCTCCCATCGGAAATAATCGGCAGGAAAAGGATTCAGAGGCTGATAGACAGTCACTCCATTGTCATTCGACTCCAAGAATGTTATTTTGAATGGTGTAAACATCTCCTTCGGCCAAGGCGGTGCGAGGGCAGATGTATCAATGGACATATAATGTATAGAACACATCCAGCCCGCACAGGATCAGCTTGGAAAGTGTTCTTTCTTTGGCGAGGAGTTCTCCATATCCGTCATCTCATACTCTCAAGGCATATGACGGACGAAATACCCAAAAATGCATCCATAATATCAGTCGGCTAAGCCAAAATTCGTTGGCATTGGCTGGTCAAGCCGGTGTTCCTTAGGGTAGACTAGAAACATTTTCGACACGAAAGTTGGATATAAAGCGTTTCGCTCTCGGCTTTCCGTCCTGATATGATCGGCTTTGGATGGCTTCCACGGCTATTGCGCACAATGTGCAATTTTCGTCAACTGTTATAGAAGCACGAATACCCACATATGTTCCATCAAACACTTCACGAAAAACGCTACTACGCTCTACATACAAGAGCGGATCGTCCATGGGCAATTTCAAACAGTCGTGGCAAAGGAAACCATCTGTTTCGTGTTGGGAACGCCCGGGCGCACTCAACTGCCATCTTCAACCTTCAATTAGTGTCGTCGGCGACGAACATTTGCGGAGATGATTTTCTGTCGTGTCAAACAGTCAATCTCCGCGGAGAACAATTCTCGTAATCGATTGCCGAAAGCTTGTCTCGGTCAGAAAGCTGAAATGATCATCTAGGATGTGGGGTTTTCGGTGATAACATTGAACATTCGCGCAGCAGCTCCTGGCCCAGAAGAGGACCGCGCCAATGAGCACTAGGTTAGCCTGATTTATACATTTTAGCTACGGATCTTGAAAGCTCGGAAACTCTAACTTGAATTGGTTGGTTCATGTGCCCCAATCCCAGCCAAGAAGATCATTACAATCTCCGTTACAGTCTCTGGTGTGAGTGACTGCAGTAGTCGCATTGTATATCTGCAAAAAGATATGTTCTACATTGTTGAATCTTTAGGAACATGCACGGACCATTTCTGGCCAAAAGTTCCATGAATGAAAGACATTAACACATAAAGCAGAATTAATTCACATAACACATATTCAAGCCTTCAAGTCCACCAATATACATTTCGCAGCACAGCGAGCCTATTTCTCGACATTGTGACTACATATTTCCATATGAGCAGCACATCTAAGGGCTATGCTGCACGTGGATCACCGTGTCCCATATCGATGATATGAGCTGCTTACCAGCCACCAGCGGGGCCGCTGGGGACAGGACTCGGGGTGGGGAATCCACCGAACTGGCGCTCCTCAATGGCACCCGACGGGGTAGGGACCGGGGAAGGAGCGAAGGAAGGGGCGCCACTGGGGAAGGGGGGAGCCTGGCCATCAGGGCCCTGTTCGTGTCCCTCTGCAGGAGATCCGAACTGGCGCTTGAAGCCTCCGAAGCCACCGAATCCTCCGGGGCCCTCAGAGGGGGCAGGGCCGGGGGCACCAGAGGGAGCGCCCGCGGGGGCAGACTGGACGACACCACCGAACTGACGCTTGTCGAAGCCACCGAAGCCACCGAATGGGACGGGAGAAGGAGTGCCGGAGGGAGGGGGCCCAGCGGGGGCGGACTCAACGGGACCGGGGAACTGACGCTCCTCGAAGCCGAAGCCGGATCCGGGGAAGGCGGAGGGAGTAGCGGAAGGAGCAGAGTCGAAGGGACCACCGAAGCCGCCAAAGCCATCGAACTGACGTCTACCAAACCCTTCAGAGGAGCCGGAGGGGGCGGGGCCGAAAGAACCGGAGGGACCAGCGGGGGGACCGGAAGGCTGGGGGCCACCAAACGGGCCACCAAACTGGCGCTTCTCGTAGGGCTCGGGGGTCGCGGAGGGAGGAGCACCGGAGACGGAGCTGGGAGGAGGCGGAGGAGGGAAAGAAGATTCCTCAGGAGCGGGAGCCACGGAGCCAGAGGGAGGAGGAGGGCCGTTGAAGAAAGGCGCCGGGGGCAGGGCAGCGACGCAGCCGACAAGGCTGGCCAAGACAGCTCCGGTAAGCTTCATTTTGAAATTAAGATATGAAAGAGAGAATGACTTTTGAGTGTTGATTCCAGAGTGATTGGGCTGTGAGGATGTTATCACAAGGAGCGGACAGAGACAGTCTTTTATAATGTGCCCAGCTGCCCTGAAACGCCTAGCCATACACCTTCCTGAGGAAGGATCATCGTTCAACGTGGGAGGTTAGTAGGTTACAGAGCACCTGGAATGGTTCTCTCCGAGTTCGGCACCGTCGAGGTACCATGGGGTTTGCTTGCGAGGTTAGGCCACTCCAGGTCCTCAGTTGCCGAGTGGAGCGATCAGCGAGGACGGCTCATGACCAAACCAATTGGAATACATTGTTGCTGAATGTCCATAGTCTAAGCTTTGCAGCCAGTGCAAGGGGCACTGGCAGCGTTTGAGAGCATGTTGTGACGTGGAGGTGATAAGGCGGCAATCCAGAAAAACAGGAAATCTCAGTGAAGTCACAACAGTTTCAGTATTGCCTGAGAGGATGTCTTGTTGTATCATTGTGCCAGCCACACTACACGTTTTCCGCTGTATCTGGGTCCCTGGTGAGTTGTCTGTGACTGATCGGCACTTGAGGGTGGGACCAGAACAGGCTGTGTCGATCATCCCTCCAGCCATCACTGGAGAAAACTGGTCGTGGGATATCAGATCGATAATCTATGTCCAATCAGAGAGACATCTCGGGACAATCCTGTCGATAATGGAAGCGAAACGCTGCTGCTCTTCGCCTGTGCCTGGGCCAGACGTGGGCTGAAGCTAACTGTTCGGCCGTGTTGGCCACATTGACTCAACAGTGTCCACAATTTTGATTCCACCGGACGACCTGCAAGGCTGGAATCGTGAATTTCTATTGTGTTTAGGTAATGCCGGTACAAAAGTAGTAGGAGAACTGTCATTCACCATGTCGCCGGCGTGGTAGCGATGCTGCGCGATGGATTTTCCCCGAATGCAAGCCTCCTGTTAACTTAATTTCGACGCAGATACCATGTGCTTTGATGACTCTGAATAGCAGATCAGTTATTCGAAAATAACTCATGACTCCGTGGTGCCTACCCAAAGCGCCTGGACCCTGTCGCTCTCCAGGGTGTTGCAATTAAGGACCAGGCAGTCAGCCCTGCCCTGAAACGCAGAATGATGCAAAGTCAAAGGGTCCCAGCCACATGAGGTCAAGGAGCCCTCATTGGAGCTTTTTCTGGGAGGTCGGGGTGGCGGCTGTGGTAGCGATACACTTCTGACTGTTGATGGGGAAAGCTGGCGTGGCCTCCTGCCGATCATCTTCGGCTCGAGGGTTGAGACTGACAGATCTGCGCACCAGTTAACCCTCCACGCTATCACTCCGGCAACGAGGGTCCACAGAGCAAAATGAATGATAAAAGCGGCAATGACTACGCTACTGACGTAGGTACGATGCAGGCTTGATGACGGTTGTGAGCTTATCCATGTTTTGGGGCGTTACAAGTTACTCCTATCAGTTTAGTCAATTTCCGAACTTCCGCTGACTACATTTTGCTCCACAATCGATGCCACTAAAGTACTTCAAAGTAGGCAAAGCGTGCCTCTGGATCAAGAACTAAGTGCCCTTGGCTCGTGGCATTTCCCAACCCTGAACATGTGACTATCCTCCAGCCGAGTAAGTTGTCGAGTCAATTGCTCGCGCCTAGGGTTAGCTCGGCTGCCGCGGTCCCGCACAAGGGAAAGCTGCGACAATAAGTGACACCATGTAGGGCAGTGTCGGTTCCCTGTGCTCTTATGGGCAGCTCATGCTCCCGACATTGCAGGGCTATCTCGCAGAGTAGGTATGAATTCTTAGTAGACCAAAACGATATACTGCAGCTTCTACGACGGAGGGCGACAAATCCCTGCACAGCAGGTTAGTATACGCCCATGTCGTTGGAACTAAGGTGAGACATAAATCACAGCTAGTGTATGTAGTGTAGGTCCGAAACTGCCTTTAATTTGCGTGGTAAGTCTTGGCCATGCTCAATTTCAGGGCTACCGGCCGTGGATCCGCTTCAGGGACTGTTATATGCCCACTTGCACATATGTGCTTGGATGCCTGAAGTTTGACAGAACCTTTAATCAGCATATATCACCACTTCTTGATACTGTCAGTTGATCAACCGTATCAGAGTAGCCAGCTTCAGCCGAGCTTCGTTCTTCAGACAAAAGGATTATTCTTTGGACGGATATGTTTCTTCACGCTGACGCAGATAGCTTAGTGTCCATGTATATGCAGTTTTCATTATCTTTACACGTTTTGTTCTCTATTGCAAGATAGTGACACAAGATGTAGAGCCGAGCGATATGTGTCATGAGCATTGATCAGCTTTTCTTCAGGTCATGCGCGATAAACGGAAACGCATCCCGCGGGATTTCCCAAGTACCGCGTCCGAAGTTATCATTCACCTAGGTTCGTGTTTGTCGCATTTATAGTGCAACAAGTTTCATTATGGCCTGATTCACGCCAGCTATCCTGTGAATCTCTAAGGCGAAATTGGTAGGAATCGGAGTCAGAGAGCCTCATTTCTTAGAACAGGAAATCTCCTCGTATAGGGGTTCTAAAAGCACGGCAGCTGAATCATATTTCTTGAATAACTATATTACACATCAAGGTGTTCAAATCTTATGTATATTATGCACTAATATACCGACAGACTTCCATTGACATACCGACTCACAAGGCTGCAACAAGCCCAAAAGATTCAATGAATTAAGTGACCCACAAAACCCCTACCAAAGTTCCTCGGGCCAGACGGATCGACCAATTATAGACAACAGGGACGAGGTCCGAGCAATCTACTACCCAGTAGTGCTGATGCCAACCCAGTATTAACTGCATCAGGAAACGTTCAAGGCTCATGCTTTTGGACGGCGGGATTGGGTTTGGACTTGGAACAACTGTCCACGACCTCAGAGTGGTACCACAATGGCTTTCATATGGGTGAATACACAATAGAGCATCTACAATGCTGGGGATGATGAGGTGAGATATGGAACAACGGTCCGCCTGTCCCAGCCAACCTTAAGCAATCTACTAACTAATTGATGACTGCATGGCTGTCAGCCGCTGGACAGCCTTACACGACCCCTCTTTTAATTGTTATAAATCAATCATGAACACTTCTTTCGTTCAGTCCTCATCCTCTTTTGCTAAAAAGCAATATTGTTGTCGCCATGACCGGCTCCGCACAATTAACAGCCCTGGAGGCCTTTCTCCTCTCACACCCCAGCATTGGCTACATCCCGCCCATCTCCGCCGAGTATGTGCCCACAGCCAGCCGGGGGTGGATCGCCGGCATCAACGCCCGTCCGCTGGCCATCGTGCAGCCCCAGTCTCCCGCTGACGTCTCAACGCTCGTCAAATTCGCCAAGGCCCACGCCGTACCATTCAACGTTCGCTCGGGCGGCCACAATCTCGAGGGTCGCTCCGTTGTAGATGGCGCCCTCCTCATCGACCTGCGCGCCTTGACGGCCGTTACTATCGCTCCGGATCGTCAATCGGCTACGGTCCAGGGAGGTATCCTTCAGGGTGAACTTGCTAGTACCCTCTGGGAGGAGGGGCTGGGCACTCCGACTGGTTCTATACCCAGCGTCGGATACGTCGGCTGGGCCATGTATGGCGGATATGGGCCCTTTTCGTCTCATTGGGGACTAGGGGTCGATCAGATCCTAGAAGCCACGGTGGTGGATGCTAACGGGGACATCATTGTGGCTAATGAGTCCCTCCTGCGTGGTATCCGTGGTGCAGGGGGCATCTTTGGCATCATTGTCGATGTTACTATCAGGGTCTATCCGCTTACAAAGGTATCTTCTCTTTTTTCCCCGTATGATACATAAACTAAACTAGAAGTATAGCTCCTCGCCGGCGCTATCATCTTCGACTCCTCTGATATAGCCCAAACCATCATCACTTTCAATGCCGCCTACGAGGACCTCCTCAACACAGAGGGCCTTCCTCCCCCAGTGACCCTGCAGCAGGCCGCTCTCAACAGTCCTCACGGTCGCGTTTTCGCTGTGCTCTTCACATGGAGCCACCCCGACCTGGAAGAGGGCCAACGATGGGTCGAGAAAATCTCCTCCCTCGCCCCTCTTCTTATAAACACCGTCGCCCCCACGACCGTTCCGGACTGGTTCAAAGGCAACGGTGCCCTCGTCCCTGAAGCTGTATATGGCTCCCTCCAGACGCATAACATCCGGCGCATCAATCCCGCTGTGGCAGAGGTGATTGGGCGGAACGTGGCATCGATGCCGTCAGATCCGGGCACGATGCTCTCAATCCATCAGCTGCGGGGACAGTCTGCTGGTGAAGATGCAAGCAAGCTCGAGCATTCCGTATTTGCAACTAGGGAGCCTCATTATATGCTTGAGATTCTCGGATGTGCTACGGATGAGCAAAATGCGGGCACATCTGAGGGATGGGCGGTTAAGACTGCAAAGGAGGTTGCGCAGGTCGACGAGGGGAATGTTTTGTCCACGGCGTATGTGTCTTTGATGAGATTGGCGAGCATGAAGCCAGATGAGGCGGTCAAAAAGGCGTTTGGTACCAATGCGGAGGTGGTACGCGAGCTGAAGGAGAGGTTTGACCCGGAAAATGTCTTTGCGTTGGCGCTGCCGGCGTTGAAGTAACTCAGGGTGGTGCTATGATCATTTTTATAGTATGAACCGATGTTAATCAATACTTTTCCCTTACCGGCTTACATTTCCAGAGCTGGAGGAGATATGGTATGTCTCACTACCTCCCTACCCCCGTTAGCACGTCCGCAATACCCCCCAACGCCTCCCCAATCCTCCGAACCAGATCGAAGACATGGATCCCGCTTGATATCTCCGCCCATATCTGTGCGGTCATCCTCGCCAGTCGCTGGATCTTCTCCGCTTCGCTCTCTCCCTCCTTGGCGACCTCTTCCTCCACGCAATTTGTCTCCTGAATCAAGTACTCCACCATGTGGAGCAGCTTCCTTTCGTCTTCCCGCAAACTTGCGATTCCGTGTGCTGCCGCGGCACTAGCTAGCATTTGCATCCAACGTATCAATAGCACTGCACACTCAAGGTGACAAATGGAGTGTTGTACGCTCCAGCTCAAGGTCTGTGTGCGCGCGACGTAGGGGATTCCCACCCGCACAGGGATACTCAACGCGTGAATGCACTGGAGGATAGCACGATCGAGGGAAGGAGAACGACCGATATGATCCAGAGGTGGTGTAGGAGAAATGAGTGATTTAAACCGAGTCGTATTACTACAGAGAAGCTCGTGGCAGAGTCCCGTCTGACAATTCAGGCGGATGTAGGCGAGTCGAAGCAGTGCGGTCGCATTGAACCCCAATGGTCCCTGAGGAGAGTATGGATCCAGACTTGACTCCCAGGTGCTCTCCCAGCTGGCTTGCCAGTGCTTTAGTGCAGATTCGAGGGATTCTATGAGAGGGGCGCGTAAACTGCCGCCGGCGGCTTGTCGCTCAAAGTAGATGCGCTGCACCAGGCCGTGGATAAGGATGTAGTTAGAGAAGGGAGAAATGAGGCTATGGTTAGTAATATCGTTTCCGTTGAGAAGGTCGTTGAGTGTCGAGGTGAATGCGCGTTCATGTAGCCGGGACACGGCGCGATGTCGCTCCCACGCAGCGGGTGATGAGGCCCTCCATTCTGCTTCGCAGGAGGGCAGACACACGGCCACCTCGCTAGTAAGGATCTGCGGTGGAATGTTGAAGATAATGCTCTGCAGGTTGAAGATGATGTATGCGATCAAGAAGGTGCGTCGCAGCTGTTGGTGTGCCACCCACGCCGGCCAGCTCAATTCGGTGTCTGCACAGTTGTCCGTTTCTTGAATTCCCAGTTTCCGCACGAGCACTGCCAACTGGCTGCTCATCGCTAGACTATCCTGCGCAAGTACTTCCTCGCCCCAAGAGCTCATGGCTGTAAGAACAATCAAGGCTTGTGCTCGCTGAAGTTCACTGGTGTTTTCCTCAGCCATCTCATCCGCACTGGTTGGGTTTCTCGAATTGCGGCGACTGTCTGAAAAAGGACTGGCATATGCCGCAGACCCTGGCGAACGGCCGACTAACTGGCTAACCAGCCTACGACGACGGTCCTGTGTGTTCTGATCGATCAAGGACCTCGCTGCAACGTACAACTGGTGACCCTTGTGATGCTCGAAGCGGTGCAAGGCTCCGACAGCCGCCATCGCCAGGAAGAGCTCCGGTTCGACGGTCTCTGCGCGGAAGGTCGGCACATGCAGGAACGGAAGGTGATCATGAAATCCTCGGAAGTAGCCTTCCAGATACCGTACGAGAGCGCACCTGGAGGGTAATAAGGATTCACCCAAGGCGGTCCGCTTCGCGGTCAATTTGTCCACGATGATCTTGTAAGCGACAGCGGAGATTGCCCACGGACATCCTGCCGCGTCGAGCTGCGCATCCAGGCCACTTTTGTGCGGCTGATCATCTAGCGATGGCAATCGTCGCTGTAACCGGTACTTAGGATCAGGCAGGTCACCAGGGTAGTCTGTTGTGTCGTCGGGAGAGGCAGCGGGCGGACCAGCTGGCGTTGAAGACGGCCGTGGTCCCTGAGACTCCTGCCCCTGTGCGGGAAACTGCTCGAGTAGATCTGAGAGAGAGATCTCAGTATTAAGGAACTGAGAGGGGACAAAGTTGGGAAATGCAAAGGCAAAGTTATCGGAGATTGGGTCCTGCCCCAACTCCATCTCGGGGAAGCTTTCCAGGGGGGGTGGAAAGAAAGCAGGAAGTGCCTGGGATGGCTCGTCCCATGCGGTCGGAGTGGTTATACTCGGAAATGGGACTGTCGAAGCAGACATATTCGGCGCCGAGACGACATTTTCCAAGCCTGCAGTGGCTGGTAGGGACGAGTTGATTGAATCGACTTGATCCGGACCAGCGCTCGAAGACCTAGTGTTGGGTGATTTCTCTGGAGGAGACTGGAGTCCCGAGGACGAGTGTGATACCCGGTTATGGCGCCTCAGAAGGTCCCTTCATTATGTTGGCAGGACATTCCTAAGGGTGCTGTTACATTATAATGGCTTACTGTCTGGCAAATGCACGGCCGCAGTGACATTGGAACGGCTTTTCCTGGGTATCTACAAAAAGATCAGTGTCTACCGGATTGGAGGGTGATGCGGTGAAAGGCCACTTACGAATACGCTCATGTCGCCGCAGGTGGTGCGACCGATTAAAGATCTTACCACAGAAGGTACATGGGGGGATATGCACTTTGGGTCTTCCTGGCGCCATGCGGGTTGGGAATGGAATTGATGCTCAGATACTGATGAAGCGGAAGGTTGGGATGGAAATTCGGGGCAGCAATTGGGGCATAATCGGGGCAGAAAAGGAGGACGGGTATGACATGACTCAGCATGTTGTGCTGCCCCACTTATTTTGTCAGTATAGGTGCGGTCATTGGATAATGGCTTACATGATTTCATAAACTCTCCTAGTGTTTGGGGCAAAAAGTACCTTAATTTCTGCCCCAATCGCGGCATTAGGAAGGTATCATTTTGACCCCAACAGCAACCCTCTTGAAAACCACGTCTTAGACAGGGGCACTCATTACAAGCTTATTAAGCTTTATATGATGGTGTTCTGTACTAATTCTTGATTTATAATGATGTTATCTCGCATCACAATCATTATGGCGATACCAGTTGGGGCAGAAATACAGCGACAACATAAATATATAATGTGGCCGACTGTAGACCAGTAACTAGACCTCACAATCAAGACATACAAATAACACCGAAAAAAAATCGCGCTATCTCAACAATAGTACCATCACTCAGGACTACCGACAACTCTTGCTACACCCTGCATATATATATCAAGATGTCCCAAACAGTTCTTCGTCTCTCCGCCCGTGATTCCTGGGACAAGCTGGTTCAACACCAAGAAGCTATCCCCTCCGCCGGCAAGCATGAAGTCCTCATCAAAGTCCGCAGTGTCGCCCTGAACTTCCGTGACATTGCCATCTCCACCGGTCAATATCCCTTCCCAGTCAAGGATCAGGTCGTGCCGGGCTCTGATGCTGCCGGTGACATCGTCGAGGTCGGCGAGGGTGTCTCAGGACTGCAGCAGGGAGACAAGGTTATCGTCAATTTTGACCTCGCTACCACGTACGGCCCCTTGAGGAGCTGGCATTGGGGCTTGGGTGGTCCTGTTGATGGTGTCATGCGGGAGTACTTTTCTGTGCCTGCACACGCTGTGATTAAGATCCCCGAGTCTTCGAAGTTGAGCTATGCCCAGTGGGCGGGTGTCGTGTGCACCGGAGTTACGGCGTGGAATGCTCTGTACGGGAACGTACCTCTGCGCCCAGGCCAGTCGGTGCTTTTCTTGGGTATGTTGTCATGAATAATTCCTCTTATTTGCGATTGCAGTATCTGACCTGTTTAGGAACTGGTGGAGTGTCCATCACTGGTCTTGTCCTGGCCAAGGCGGCCGGTGCGATTACTATTATCACCTCATCCTCCGACGAGAAACTCCAGCATGTCAAGGAGAAGTATGGCGTTGATCATACTATCAACTATAAGAAAACGCCCAACTGGGCTGCTGAGGTGCAGAAGGTTACGAACGGCCAAGGTGCAGATTACATTTTTGAGAACGGCGGAGCGGGAACCATTAAGCAGTCACTCGACGCCATCTCGTACGGTGGCACTATTGCGGTGATTGGTTTCTTGGCTCAGGCTTCCCAGGAGGCAATGCCGAACGTTGCTGCATTGGCTATTGGCAAGGGCGCCGTGATACGTGGTATTATGGTGGGTTCCAAGCAGCTGTTGGAAGAAGCGGTGCGCTTTATTGGAAACCGGGATCTTCCCGTGCCGGTCGAGAAGACGTTTAAGTTCAGTCGTGACCAAGTGGTTGAGGCCTATAACTATCTGGCTAGTGGGCAGCATGTTGGCAAGGTCTGCGTTGAATTTTGAGCTGAGCACAGGGCTATGGTGGACCGTAAATATATGAGATGTTATATATATAATAGAAAATCATTGCTATAGTTGGTCTACATGAACAGAATCTCAGAACTGGGTTTGACCGGTCATTTATACGAAGCCCAATCACCTAACCTGTATCAGTCTATTGTCTATCTTCGCGCACCATATTCCGGTAAGGATTGTTCGGGTCCTGCTCCTCCTCCTCTGCTGACGGGATGGTCTTGCGCACGCGACAGGGATTTCCCACAGCCACAGAGAAAGGAGGGATATCCTTGGTAACGACGGAACCCGCACCGATAGTTGAGCCCTCGCCAATGGTCACCCCAGGCAAGATGACAACGTTGCCGCCGATCCAGCAATCATCGCCGATGCGAATGGGATGGCCAAATTCGACAAACTTGCGGCGCGAGAGGACACTGACGTCATGCCCGGCCGTGAAGAGGTTGACGTTTGGGCCAAACTGCACGCGGTCGCCAATGATGATCAAGCTGGTGTCGAGGGCAGTGAAGCTGGCTCATTGTTAGCGACAAAAGCTTGTCATTTAAACGGGTGAACTCACTTGAAGTTGATGAAGCAATCACGGCCAATGACAATGTTACAGCCATAGTCTGGATTGAATGGGGGTTCCACAAAGGTTCCCGAGCCGACTCTCCCCACTACCTGTTGCAGCAGCTCAAATCGCACGTCTGCGATCTTCTCGTAGGACACGGACTTCGCATCTAGGTTATTGTAGTCCTGAGTGACTCCGCGGGCCCGATGACGAGCTTCCATCAACCGGGGAACGATGGGATTATACCTGAGAGACTGTTAGGTGGTGCATGCATTGCACATGGAATGAGGTCTCCTACAGCATGCCGGAGATCATGCGCTCGTAGTCCTCGCACATGGGAACATGATTCAGATGCCGGGCAATCTCAATAATCTCCGGTCGCTTCTCTGTTGCAGCAACAGACATTGTAGAAATGTACTAGAGGAGGAGAAGTAGAAGGAGGCTGATGAATGTATGGCGATGGTTGTGTGGAAGGAGAAAGTGAATGTTAATGGACGCTTGGGCTCCGGGAACCGCGGGGAAACCTAAAGATGTGCGGGGCATCCTGATTAGACTGCACCCACCCTTATTCGTTGCTGGAGTAACCGCATGTCTCACTGCTAGAAGAAGATGAACCCTAGCTAAATAGAGAGACATCTCTGAACAGGTCTGGTTTATAAAAGGTGAATGTATGTAGTACAGAACTGGCCTAGCAATGAGCAGGTTCATGATTGATTCCAAAAGCATGGGGAATTGGAGTTGATATTTAGCATATTTCCAGGAGGCCAGATAACTCAAACGAGGCTAAATCTGTCAATCATGTATTCACAGCACAGTGATCATAGTTTCCTATGTAACCACGTCTTGTGCGCGTCTCCGGCCCGTTCTGATAGTGTATGACCTGCCATACACCCGTGTGTCCCGCGTACAACTACATGGCGGGCATTGCACACAAATGGAGAATTCATTATTTGTAACAAAGCTGGGTATACCAACGCGCCGTCCACTACATATCAAAAAGCGCTACATGTCTATAATCAATAAAATAAAATCATTGTAATGAGTAAAGGTCTCTGAAGGGGTGGATGGAAGTTTGCAGACCGGCATTTCCATTTTAAAGGGAGGGTAGAAGGTGATACTAAGCGGTATAAGGAAATGAAATGAGAAAGGTAGCTGAAGAAAGAAGTGGAAGACTGCCTCATCATATCTTGAAGGGCTGAACATAGTACTAGCCCCTTCTCCGGGTGAAAGGATGGCCGTAATCTGCCGTGTGGGCGGATTTCGTCGGGGACCGGCATGAAAACCGTGCGTTTCAATTAGAATGTTTCTCCCAGTCACGCAATTTCTTGTACTAGCAGCCTAGTGTGCAGGCTCAGCAAGTTCCAGATTGAGGGGTTGTCATCACCAGAGATATGCCGTTGGTTCCATATCAGTGGCTTGTCTGACGTAAAATTCCACCCCATCGTGCAGCCAAGATTCTGCTCTGGTGGACCACCCTGCCTTGCTAGAAAAGATTGCATAGCACTAGTAATCAACCAGATACCAAGTTCACTTCCGGGCCCACAGCTATACTACTCTATCACCAGGTGTGCCTGCCTATTGACTCCCTAGAATGTGATCGTCAACGTTAACGCCAAATGGAGCCATGACGACCTTATCACCGCAAAGATATACAGGGCCCTCTTTTATGAAGTCCCACTGCGTTCTGTTGAGATCTTTTTGTGAGTAGAAATCCTGCTGCCTGAACCCATCAGTATCTCTCCTGCCGTCAACCCCATGAGGGAATTGCTGCGCTGACGTACACTTGATTCACGGGTTCTGATTAAACATGATATGTAACTCTATGGAAGATGAGATAAATAATGGACCCAGGGAAACGGCTGAAACATAGGGATACCTCACGGACTATGCTCAGGGCTGGTAATATACAGCCGGACTGTAGCTAACCAGCTCACATGGAGAAAAGGTTTAATACTTTGGCAGCGGAGCAGAGAAGTTTACTACAGAAGCTAAACTAAGATTGGAAGTCTCTACCCAGCACGCAGAAGAAGTATGATTTGCGATAGGTGGGAACTGCGAGCATATAGGCATATTGGTGTGTCAAGTAGGCATACTGAGCTGCCATGAAATTGTCTCTAATATGTATATCGGCACAATGACCCCTGCTAAGATGCTCTGCTACACTCCTTGATTCTTCGAAGACGGTAGTGCCTCTAAAACCAGTCCAATTGATATCCTTCTACCTACGTAGCAACCAAAACATACCCATGCGTTAGATACCAACCAAGGTTGAAGCTAGTAAAGCCACAATTGAACGTGATAGGCTAAATGATCGAGACCTGCGTGGTGACTACTAGAGTTGTGCTGTAGCGTCTAGAGCGATCTTCTAGCATTGCGTACCTGCATAAGTTGGTCAGTGGCGCAGACGAACTACGTCCTATAGATAGCACCACCTCCATATTGCTCTACAAAGGTGGATTACACGATAGAGTTTTTTATACCCGTTTAGCCTTCTTTCCTGGTCCGCATAAAAAAATACCCCAAGTCCCACCAAGATACGGGGTCGCCACGTAAGATCCCGTACCAAAAATCCTATAGAGTCCTCTTTGGACGAATAAATCCCCGAATATTCGCCGATAAAGAAGTTCCACTTTCAATCAAGCATACTCCAGCTCATTCACAAGCTGACCCAACAGCCTGCCTCTCAGGCTCAGAAGCTGGTGCCTAGACGTGAACACAGATTTACTATGCCCGATACGTGACGCGGTCAAATAAGGTATAAT